CAGCACTGCCTCGATCGGAACTCCACAAACTGATCAGCCCCTTGCAATGTCTAAACCACGTGTGGAAACTCCACCACCCCCAGGACCTCGGCCCCCTGCCCCAGCCCGCTCACCCCTTCCCCTACAACAGACTGCCCCATCCCTTCCCATTCCACCCTCTCCAGCCCTGGAAACCTCACCCCCTAGAGTCCTTCTTCCTCGACAAACTGGCCTGTATGGACAGCCAGCAGCCCCTGCCCGGCCCCCACCTGGGCAAACTGGCCTGTATGGACAGTCAGAAGGCTGTGCCTGGCCCCCACCTGGAGCCCGGCTGCCCGTCCCGGGGCCCATGTGACAAGTTTTCTGTGGAGGAGTACATGGTGCACGCCCTGCAAGGCAGCGTGAGCTCAGGCCAGGCCCACAGCCTGGCCAGCCTGGCCAAGACCTGGTCAGCGGGGGGCTCCAAGCCCCGGAAGCCCAGCCCCGAGACAATGGACAGCGAGGGGGTCCTGCTTACAGAGGTAAGCCATCCCCCAAACACAGGCACACATGCCACCCACTCCGGGGCCCAGGGCAGCAGCCTGCAGTCACGTGGGACCTGTTCTGGGGGACGAGGCACCACGAGGAACCTGCCAGACCCTCTCCGCTTCCCACCTTTGCAGGGGGGGATGGGGGGGCATAGACTGCACTCTTTATCGAAGTCACTCATGCACGTGATAACACATCAGATAGTAGGAAAGTGCTCATCACTGGCGAGGGGCAGGATCCCCTGTTGCCCCTCCGGATCACTCTTCAGGCTTCTTAGATATTTCCGTTTTGAGTTCTTCTGAAGTTACTGAAGTTCTCGAGTTATTGCTGAAGAGTGTGTGTGTGTTTCACATACTGAGAAAACAGGAATAAGCAGATATCAAGTGCCCCTGACCTTCCTCTTTCCCTCCACTTCTCTCCCAGAGAGCTTTATAACTCTAAATGAATTTTACCGGACTTAAATTTCTGGGGTTTATTCCATCCGTCTTTGACACGATCCCTTGTCCCCTACCTCTCTTCATGGTCTGTTCCCTTTCTTCTGCCTTCTAGCTTCTGAGCTATACTTTCAGCCAAAGTTGTTGATGGTTCCTTTTTTTTTTTTTTTAAGTTTGATTTACTTATTTTGAGAGAGAGGTTGGCGGTGGGGGTCAGAGAGAAGAGAGAAAATCTCATGCAGGCTCCGCCCTATCAGGGCAGAGCCCTGTGAGGGGCTCAAACCCATGAACTGTGAGATCATGACCTGAGCCCAAGTCAAGAGTCAGACACTTGACTGGCTGAGCCACCCAGGCGCCCCGACAATTCCATTTCTGTCCCACACCCATAAGTCTGGGGAGAAGGACCTCTCACCGGGAGCGGCTTAGCCTGGGCAGCCCGAGCAGCTGTCCTTTGCCTTCACCTTATTCCTGTAACGCCGTCTAGTCCTGCCTCTGCAGAGCCCTGCCTCAGACCCCAGGGGTGTCTTTGGTTGTGAGGGCTCTGCCCCCAGCAGCCTGGCAAGGACAACCAGCCAGAGAGCCTTCCTCACTGTAACGCTTCGTCCCCTTGCTGCCCCGGCCCTGAAACTGGCCTCTCTCTCCTGCCAACCCCAGAAACTCAAGCCAGTGGATTATGAGTACCGAGAGGAGGTCCACTGGGCCATGCACCAGCCGTGCCTGGGCAGAGGCTCCTTCGGAGAGGTGCACAGGATGGAGGACAAGCAGACTGGCTTCCAGTGTGCAGTCAAAAAGGTAGGCAAAATTTAAAAAAAAAAAAGATGCGCCTGGGCCCCCGCCGGGGGAGCTGCAGAAGGAAGTGTGTTCCTTCTGCTTTCTTGCAAGGGTGATCACAGGGCAGCCGTGGCTCTGACTTGTTAACAGAGCCTGGCTGTCGCCGGGCACCCTAGGGTCAGCTGGAGCCGGGAGGGAGCAGCCTCGGTCACATGTCCCAGCCTGGGAGCTGCACTGAGTGTACACGTAGGTCAGATGGAGTGTGCGGGTGTGCACCCGTCCTGGGCCGCTCATGATGTTGGGGCCCTTAGGGGCAAGTCCTGACCTGGAATGTGTTGGCTCGCCATGTGATTCATGTTGGGCGGACACCCTTAACCGCACACAGTGGGCCTTGCTCACGCCTGAGCCAGAAGGTACAACAAACCACGACGACAACCGACCCCTAACAGGTGCCTCTTGGACAAGGCTGTGCGCTTGGGACGTCAGATCGATTTCGGTTTGGACTCTGTCTCCTCCTGGCCGGCATGATCGGTCATGGGAGGTGGACATTACAAGGAAAGGAGACTTAGCAAGAGACCCAGTCTTGGCTGGCTCCAGAGTCCGGCTGTGATCTGCTCTGTTGGAAGGGGACAGGGGAGGAGACTCAAGGTCCTGGGAATGGATGCAAGCAGAGGCGTGAATCGCCTCTCCTGCTCCCTCCTTTCACCAGGCTAGAACTGGGGACCAGAGAGGGCAGCGTGCCTTGCCTGAAACCACATGGCTGGGCCTGGAACTGAGGCCTCTGTAGACCTTGGAGTTGGCCCTGTTCCCCCTCAGATGTCTTTTCGCCACCCCCCACTCTCCATTCACCTTGACTGGAAGCCACCTTGTCCTCGGCCCAGACTCAGCCTCAGAGCTAGCGCCCAGGACCGTGGGAGGCGGAAATGAGAAACAAAATGAGAAGCATTTCCAGGGGCCATTTTCTTGGCCTGTGACAAAGGGTAATAAGCGGGCTCCATGGTAGACGTTGTTTTCAGGCAGGTCTTGTTAAGGACACTCTGATCCCCAAAAAGGGAAGAGGATCAAAGAGCCAGCCCAGGCAGGGCCGCCACACTCGGGCCCTGGGCAGAGTGGATGACACTGCTGCCGCGGTCACGGCTGCTTGTGGCTTTCAGCGGTGAGGACACAAATTGTGATGTGAATAACCTGGCTTCCTTGGCTCATAGGTGAGCCGGGATGTTCAAGTTCTAGAGTTTGAGCCCCCGAGTGATGGGCTGAGAAGGGACTATCCGTAGGTATTACCCCAAACTTCAGACACACTATGTCAAATAAGCAGACTCCACCCCTCCCACCTGCCCCCCCCCCCCCCGCCGCCGGCCAAAGCACGTGCTGAGTGCCTGCCAGCGTGGGTCAGCATCTCCCACTGGATGCCAGGGCCACGTGCCTGACCTCCTCAGCTGCGGTGCCCTCCCCAGGCTATCGGAGAAGGCTCAGCTGTCCCTCCTGAGGGCTGAGTGGGAGGAACGCACGAGTGTGAAGTGTCCCAGGGTCCAGTGCCTGGTGCTAAGGGAGCTTAGTCACTGGGCTTCTCAGCTGTTGCCCTGCCGAGGTTCTCCGATTCCGGGCAACAAGGTAAACAACCCTGATATAGTAGAAGCGGGCAGGTCCCCCCATTTCTCACCTCCCCAGTGCAGGAGGAAGAGCTCCAAGCCCAGCCAGCCGGCTCCCCAGTGCCAGAACTGGCCGATTCCAGAATCTGCCTCCCTGACCCGAGAGCTCAGTGCGGTGGCCTTTGGCCGCCCACACAGCTGCCCTCGGGTGGGCAGACAGCCCCTCCTTCCACTCCTTTTTCTGAGGATTGGGGTGGGAGTAGGGATCAGAGGTCAGAGGAGCTCTGTGCGCCCTCCCGTGCACCGGGAGGAAGCCCCAGCATGTGGTACAACAGCAGTCCCTTGATCCTCCTTCTAGAACATCCATGGCCTCGGGTCAGAGGCTGACTGGTCACAAGTCCAGGGTTTAACGCACGTTGGCAGTGGGGGGAGTCTGTTCACTTTTTTAAGGCTTTGCTTGATCTTTTAATGGCACGTAGACCTAGTCTCATTATAGAAGAGTTCGAGTGATACCCCAAAACACAAAAGTCTCCCTCTTCCCCAATCTAGTTCTCAGAGGCAGCTGCCCTTTGACCTCTTTTTAGACTTGTTGTGCGTATATAAGCATGTAGTTTCTTTTATTAAAATGAGGCTGCACTCTGGAGGCTGCCCTGAGCCGTGTTTTTCATGTACTCACGTATCACGGACACAGTTCCTTATTGGTACCTACCGTCTCTCTAGTGCCTTCTGTCAGCCAACGTAGAAGTTCATATCTTTGTCAGTGGATGAATTTCTAGAACGTGAGACCCCCTGGAACTTGATTCTATGGTGTATCTGCGTGACACACACATTTTGAATGGGGAAAGGTCCATTATCATGTATCAGATGTTCAGAGGGGTCTGTGGCCCAAAGAGGGTTGAGAACCATTTCATTTAAGAACATCTGGCTCCAGCATGGGGTTCTGGGAGCCTCCTTTTGACTCTGCCATGATTGGGTTAGCGTGGCCTCAGCCAAACCCAGCCGTTACCATGCACCTGCTCTGTGCCAGACAGGGTGCCAGGGCTGGGGAGGCAGAGCTGCGGAATCCACACCCCCAGAGGGGCTCAGGGGGTGACGGGGGTGGGACTTTTACATGGCATAATAGGACCGAGGGGAGAGTATCTCCATGGTGACGAGGAATGGGGGGGAACCCTCTGTTTATTCGACTACTGTGCGCTCAGTGCTGTGTGAGTTACTTTCACATATTTTATGTTCTGGGATCTTTAAAAGAAGTTACAGCATTGCTATTATACCCTCTTTTTACCGATGAAATAAAATGCATACAAATACTGAACAAGAAGGGGGAGAGTTTCAAGAAAGAAACATCCATCCCGACTGTCAGCATGCAGGCAGTTAAGTGGGAGAAGTGGCTTGTGGACTTGGCAGTGAGGGGATCGCTGACCACACTCCCACCTACACACTCCCGAATGTACTTAAAAATGTCCTGGATGTAAGACACTCCCGGGAAGGCCTCCAGTGAGGCGGGATAGCTGGCAGCCTGGAGTCAGGCTTCCCCAAGCAAAACCCCAGCTCTGAGACTTTCTGCCAGTGACCTTGGGCAAGGTACTGCCCAGACTCTAGCTTCCTCATCTGTAAAATGGAGATAATGAGAATACCACCCCAAAGGCTATTGTAAGATATAAATCACGAATGCTCATAAAGTGCTTAGAACAGTGCCTCAGTGGGCAGCGAATATTCGTTTTCAAGAACACCCTCATCATAGTCCAGCCCCTTTAACAGATGAGGACATTGAGGTCCAGGGAGGAGAGATGGGCCGGCCGGGCAGCTGACCTGGGCTAGAAAGCCGTGTGCTCTCTCTCCATCCACCTCCCTCAGGCCTGCCCATTCTGCTTGCTCTCCCTGGAGCTGGCACAGACTTCTAAATCACCTTGTGTTTCCGAGTGTCTCCTCTGGCCCCCTTGGGTCTGGGTGAGAACTGGAAAAAAAAGAATTTTAAGAGTTTCAGTTTCATTTTTTTTTAATGTTTATTTTTTTTAGAGAAAGAGACATAGCGTGAGCGGGGGAGGGGCAGAGAGAGAGGGAGACACGGAATCTGAAGCAGGCTCTAGGCTCTGAGCTGTCAGCACAGAGCCCGATGTGGGGCTTGAACCCATGAACCATGAGATGACCTGAGCCAAAGTCAGACGCTTAACCGACTGAGCCACCCAGGCGCCCCTAAAGATTTTCATTTTTAAGTAATTTCTGTACCCAGCGTGGCTTGAACTTACAACCCTGAGATCAAGAGTCATGGGCTCTACTGACTGAGCCAGCCAGGTACCCCGGGTGAGAATGGTTTCAACATTCCTGGAATCCTCCAGAGGACTTGCCGATTTCTTAAAAGTTAAAACAGAGGTGCCTAGACTTTCTTGGTTTGCAGCCCTCAGTGTCAGTAATTTTTCATGGCACCCCAGGCCAGAACAAGTACCTAGAAGTTCCATTTATTAAGTAATAAGGTCAAATAATAGTGTTTTTCCTAACAACTTAGTAGTCATTTGAATAACAATACACGTCAGTTGAAAGAAAATTTCCCTTCCGTTCTTAATCATAATTACTTATGGGATGTATCCCTCGTTGGGCACTGCCCAACTTACCAAAAATTTGAAATCAGATCGGACATCCTCAGCTTCACTTCCTGCTTCCCATCCCCCCCACTCCTGAAGTACTTGTATCCCAGCGAGCTCCAAAAACATAGCTTCGTAAAGATACATAGAAAGAATAGAGCACAAGCTAATGTTGAAACTGAACTATCTTGAGCGAGTAATTTATGCGGTGTCCCACAGATAGCCATCACCACTGCTTCCCTCAAAAGTAAAACATCCTGGGCGTGCCTGGGTGGCTCAGTCGGTTAAGCATCCGACTCTTGGTTTCGGCTCAGGTCATGATCTCAGTTTCGTGAGTTCAAACCCTGTCTGGCTCTGCACTGGCAGCATGGAGCCTGCTTAGGATTCTCTCTCTCCCTCTCCCGCTGCCCCTCTCCCCCTCGCACACTCTCTGTCTCTCTCAAAATAAACTTAAAAGGAAGAAAGTAAGACCTGCAGCCCTGCTGAGTTCCCTGGGGTGCCCGAGAGCTCAGTTCAGGAGCCGGAGCGTTAAAGACCTTTGCTAGTACGAGTCCCGATGGTGAGTTCATTCTAGCTCAGGTTCAGAGCTGGAAACACTGACAAAGAGCCCAAGTTTATGCAAGTTGATTAACCAGACCAGATAGTCTGTAACCAGAAGAGACACATTTTCCACTGATAGGCGAGAGTCCAAAAGCCCCACATTGTCAGGGCTCCTGCCAAGTCAGCATGTCTCCAAGCCAGACTGCCAGCTCCTGACTGATTTCTTCCAGGCTGGTTTTGTTGCCACTGGCGCCCCCTGGTGGCACCTCTCCAGGCTCACAGGAGAACCAGCAGCAGCAGAAAAGAGAGGACAAGTGTCTGTTAAGAATTCTAAGTGTTTAATAAGTTGCTCTTATTTGAGCCGGAGGGAGGAAGTGGGCAGCTAACATTCCCTGAGCACCCGCTGGTTGCGAGGCCTAGTGCTGGGCTCTCATCCCTCCAAATCCTCACTCCACACAAGAGCAGACCCCACTGTCACCGCCGTTGGCTCATGGAAACACAGCTTAAGGGAAGCAAGCGCTCTAGCTTTGGAAATGGCCAAGCCCAAGTCTCAGTCTGGGATGTTTGTATCCTAGGCCTGTTTCTTCCCGCCTTGCTGTGCTCACCCCTACACAAAGGAGTGGGCGGTCCCTACAGGAGGGGCCTTGGCCAAACCCCTCCCCCTTAGGAGCCTCTCCTTTGCCCAGATCCTGGGGAAACAGCTGCAAACAGAGTAAACAGGCATTGCTCCGTCTACATGGACGTTTTAGCCCTCAGGGGGAAAGACACATAATTCCGAGCTGAGGAAAGTGCTGAGGAGCCAGAGGCACCGACAGAGCCAGAACCCTTGGCTGCATCGGCGCTGGCGGCAGGAAAGACGGGAGCCCAGCCTCCGAGGCATGGACGTGGACATTGATAAACAAAAGGGCTCACGTCCTAGAAATGGCCCAGACATTTGGGGCGGCGGGGGGGGGGGGGGGGGGGGGGGGGGGGGTTAAGTTGTGTGTTTGGCAGAGTTAAGGGTGGACAGCGTGTCAGGAGCCTGGATAAGGGCTGTCGTCTTTGTGATTCTAAGTATTTCCACACATGTCAGCAGGGCGGAATTTTAGCCAAGTACTAGATGTTGAACCTGACCCCGCAGGGTACACAGTTTCGTCTCTGAGGCTCCCGTAGGCCCACCTGGGCCCTGCCTGCCTGGCCTCAGAATTGTCACTGGGGACCTCAGCAGCCTGTGCGCAGGGGCACTGGGGAACCAGACCTTGTCCCTCACCCTGACTCACAGCTACCTCTGCGCCCTGCCAGGTGCGCGTTGAAGTGTTTCGGGCTGAGGAGTTGATGGCCTGTGCAGGGCTGACCTCACCCAGAATCGTCCCTCTGTATGGCGCTGTGAAGGAAGGTCCGTGGGTCAACATCTTCATGGAACTGCTAGAAGGTAAGGAGCTGGGTCCGAGCCAAGGCTTTCCCACGTCGTTCCCAGATTGACCTTGGTCCCCACTTATTCCATTTTTAACCTCTTGACCCTGTGACATCAGCCGGAAAGGCCTACTTTCTACCACCTGCCCTTTGGAGGCCATTGCCCGTGTCCCGTTGCAGGCCTGGAAATGCACCATGTAAAGACTCACTGTTGGTCTCGTAGGTGGCTCGCTGGGTCAGCTCATAAAGCAGAAGGGCTGTCTGCCGGAGGACCGGGCCCTTTACTACCTAGGCCAGGCCCTGGAAGGGCTGGAGTACCTCCACACCCGAAGGATTCTGCACGGAGATATCAAAGGTGAGGCTCACGCCCCCACCACCCTGGTCCCCCGTGGCCTCCTCCTGCCTGACGGTCCCCAGTGGCAGGGCCCAGGGAAGGCTGGCAGAGCTGTGCTGGCGGGGGGGGAAGTGTGTTGCCCAGGCCCTTAGCCCAGCACCCTGGTTGCCAGGGGGCAGTGCCTGCAGAGAACTGCAGAGGGAACTCCTATGCCCTGGTGACCACTGGGGGAGGGTGGGGACAGCAGAGCAGAGTGGCAGTGTCCCCAGAGTAAACTATCCCTGGGACCTCAGAGATCGGCCTCCCTGCGTCTAGCCTGAACTGATAACCTTCCTCCCTTCCTTATGACTAATGAAAACTAATCAGAAGCAACAGCTGCCGTGTAGGGTCAGCCAGAAACTGCCTCGCTGGAGGTCCAGATTGGGCTGGGGCCTGGAGTGACTCACCTGTTCCTCTTCTTCTCTGGGGTGGCCTGGCAGCTGACAATGTGCTCCTGTCCAGCGACGGGAGCCGCGCGGCCCTCTGTGACTTCGGCCATGCCGTGTGCCTCCAACCCGATGGCCTGGGGAAGTCATTGCTCACCGGTAAGCCCCGCCCCCCCATCCCCCTCCCCCACTGGCCTTCACTAAGCATTAGCCTTCTCCCGTGCTTTCTGTAATAGCAGGCAGAGAGGTGAACCCTTTTTGTCCACCACAATAGTGGCAGCCCATCAACCTCCCTAGGTTAGCAGAAAGCTTTGGTTCCACTTAAATGTAAGAAGGAATATCAGGTGCTCGTTTCTGGGATTCCTGCTACACAGAGAAGGGAAGGGAAAGGCTGGCTGCCTTGCCCCAGGTCTTCTGCCATGCAGCCCCCATGGCACTGACCCCTCTCATCCAGCCTTTTCCGGGTGGCTCTGCTCCCAGCCTGTGGCCTCAGCCATCCCGGGCCTCTGAGCACAGTTTCTGGAAGCACAACACGAGGTCTGACCAAGGGGCCTGGGCTCTGTAGCTGGAGAAACGTCTGTTTTTAACTTAAGTTTTCTGATTATTAAGGTAATCCACATCCCGGGATGCCTGGGGTGGGGGTGGGGGCTCAGACGTTTGAGCATCGGACTTCGTCTCAGGTCATGATCTCATGGTTTGTGAGTTTGAGCCCTGCGTCGGGCTCTGTGCTGACAGCTCAGAGCCTGGAGCCTGCTCCGGATTCCAGAGAGTCTCCCTCTCTTCTGCCCCTCCCCTGCTCATGCTCTGTCTCTCTCTCTCAACAATAAACATTTTTTAAAATTAAAAAAAATAAAGTAATCCACATCCATTGTGAGATATTTAGCAACTACAGAGTCAAGTGGTATAGAAGAGAAGGGCAAAGGAACCTGCCCTGTTCTGTTGCCCAGAAACGTAATCACAAAGACTTTAGATCACTCCTTCCAGTTCATCCTGTTTTTATTTCTGATACCTTGTTAAGACCATTATAACACAACTTTGTGCCTGTTTTCATTTATAGTGTTAAGCGAAAGGTTATTTCCTCATGACCAAAGGAAAATCGACCTTTTATTTATTTTTTATTTTGAGACAGAGATATCAGGGAAGGGCAGAGGGAGAGAATCTGAAGCAGGCTCCACAGTGTCAGCACAGAGCCCAGTGTGGGGCTCGAACCCATGAACTGAAAGATCATGACCTGAGCCAAAACCAAGAGTCAGACGCTCAACCAACTGAGCCAGCCAGGTGCCCCAGGCCAAAACCTTTCAGAAGTGATTCTCTGCCATTAGAGGCCTGTCTTGGTCACCCTGAAGATGTAAATTGGACACAGACATATAACTAGTGGGCTTCTTTTCTTATTACAAAAATAATTTCTAAAATCTTTTGCCGGAAGTCTAACTAAGCAAAAATTAAAAATACAGATCACCAGAGTGGGGGAAAACATTTCATATCTGGTATCGGTTTTTCTAGTCTGCATAGAAGTTATTTTATTTTTTTTGTTTTCCCTTGCTAATATTTCAGGAACATCATACCATTAATTAGTCTCCTACAACATAATTTTGAATGCTCAGGCCCCTCCCCATTTTTTTAAATTTAAAAAAAAATTTTTTTAAACGTATGTTTATTTTTGAGGGGGAGAGAAAGAGAGACAGAACATGAGTGGGGGAGGGGCAGAGAAAAAGGGAGACACAAGATCCGAAGCAGGCTCCAGGCTCTGAGCTGTCAGCACAGAGCCCAATGCGGGGCTCGAACCCACAAACTGCGAGATCTTGACCTGAGCGGAAGTCGGACGTTTAACCAACCGAGCCACCCAGATGCTCTTTTTTAAAATATATATATATTTTTTTAATGTTTATTTATTTTTGAGACAGAGACAGAGTGCAAGCAGGGGAGGGGCAGAGAGAGAGGGAGACACAGAATCCGAAGCGGGCTCCAGGCTCCAAGCTGTCAGCACAGAGCCTAATGCAGGGCTTGAACCCACAAACCATGAGATCATGACCTGAACCAAAGTCGGACACTCAACCAACTGAGCCGCTCAGGTGCCCCGGCACCTCCCCATTTTTCATAGGCACTCTAGGGGTTTGGGCCAAAGGGTAGAGCCCATATTTTGGGTCATACGTTCTTTGTGCCCATCCCCAGTGGAGCCCCTGACTTAGCTTACCCCGGGCAAGTTTGAGCTGGAGGCTCTCCCCCTACTTGAAGCCAGTTCACAGAGACAGATTCGGGGTATTTCGGGAATTGACTGGTGTGCTCACTGCCGAGGCTCTTGCCTATCAGAGTTGACGGTTGGCTTTTCTGCCTTGCGTCACCCCCTCAGGGGACTACATCCCGGGCACAGAGACGCACATGGCTCCGGAGGTGGTGCTGGGCGAGCCGTGTGACGCCAAGGTGGATGTGTGGAGCAGCTGCTGTATGATGCTTCACATGCTCAACGGCTACCACCCTTGGACGCAGTACTTCCGAGGGCCGCTCTGCCTCAAGGTCAGTGCCAGCACCTGGGAGGGCCAGCAGGGCCGCGGGCCCGGGGGCTGCTGGCTTGGGGCAGTCCCCGTCTGGACTGCTCTTCGACCGCCGATGGGAACAGGAAGAGGCCTCATTGTAAGCGTGACGGAAACACGTGGCACCCAAACCAGTGGGCTCAGGGGGTATACATCCCAGGTGAGGGTTCTCCTTAGGTTCGGGGCAGGTCAGGGCTCTCTTCCACTCAGACCCTTGGCCTGACGGGCTGGGCCTGGAGGTCATGGGCACCTTGCTGCCTGGCGCTGTCCTAGCCTCCCTGGCCCCGTTTTTCCATTTCCTTGGAAAAGTCTGAGCCCTCTCCCGTCTTCGTGACCGAGCCCAGCACAGCAAGGTGGGGGAGAGTCGGGAAGAGCAGGAACCGAAAGCCAGGGAGCTGGGAAGTAAGCGGAGGGGGTGGGGGGGGGGCAGGCCACACATGCTGCCTTCTGACCCACAGATTGCCAGCGAGCCCCCGCCTGTGAGGGAGATCCCACCATCCTGTGCCCCTCTCACAGCCCAGGCCATTCAGGAGGGGCTAAGGAAAGAGCCTGGGCGCCGTGCATCTGCAGTGGAGCTGGGGGGGAAGGTCAGCCTGGCGTTGCAACATGGTAAGAGCCCCACACTGGCTGCAGGGGTGAGGGAGGGAGGCCACACGGCCCGTACTGGGCCCACCACCAAAGAGATTCTCGCCAGATCCCTAAGGGGACACGCGGGAGTGCACTGCAGGGTCACTTGCAGGAGAGGAGTAGGCTCAGCAGCGGCGTGTCCCTTGTTGGGAGAGGCCAAAGGCAGGGTGGTCATCAGGGAGATGGGCAGGGAGGTGGGCAGGGTGGTGGGCAGGGCGGGCTCCATGGAGCCCCATGCAGCAGTTAAAGCAACTCCGTGTTCACAGGGCAACCTGGCTGGATTTTGAAACTGTAGTGTGCTGTGTGGGGCAAAAAGGGGATGCACAGAGCGAGGCCTAAAACATAATACCTTTTTTGTAAACTAAATATTGAGAAATAAGAACCACCCGCACTTTGCAAGAACACGATCAAACCCAAAGTGACACGGCACATAGAATAGAATGTCCCCGGGGGGGAGGGAGGGGTGGGCAGGGGAGAGGCAGTGGTTATGGGAATGAAAGGGGAATAAATAAAACGGGAGACAGACCCTGCATGCCCCCCAAAACATAGATGAACTGCCCCCCACTGCAGAGAAAGCACGGAGTGTGGGGAGAGAGGGTAAGAGAGATGGGAAGGGGGGAGGGGGGCAGGGGGAGGTCAAAGAGGCCGGTTTCTGGGAACTCGAAGTTGGTGTTACCTCAGGGCTGTTTTTAAACCTCTACTATTTACAAAGTCCTTCTCTGGAGCCAACTCTGTCAGTTTTAAATTTGCGATTGTTACCTAGAAGGAAAACGAAATAAAAGACAGAACTACTGTCCTGTCCTGTTCCCCTTGTGGGAGGCCCCCTACGGAAGAGGCCGCCTCGGAGACCACACGCCCCCTATGGGGCAAGCGCCCTCCCCCACGGCTTGCCTCCAGCTCTCTGGTCGGGCAGGGCCACCGGGCAGGGCCACCGGGCCGGGCCCCCTTCCGCCTCACCGCGTGTGCCGTTTTCTAGTGGGAGGTCTGCGGAGCCCTTGGAGGGGGGAGTACAAAGAGCCAAGACGTCCACCGCCGCACCAAGGCCACCCACCGCCCGGCCAAGGCCACTCCCATCGGACCCCGCAGGCCCAGCCGAGGGAGCTCTCGCCTGGGGCTCCAGGACCCCAGCCAACCGAGGACACGACAGGCGGGGCCCCTAAGCTCCAGCCCCCTCTGCCCCCCGAACCTCCGGAGCGGAACAAGTCTCCAAGCCTGAACTGGGGCAAGGAGGAGTCTGGAACATGGGACCCATTACCTCTGTCCTCCCTGGACCCGGCTCCTGCCAAAAACCCCAGCTCGGCGGAGCGGAAGGCGATGTTCCCCGAGCAGGAGCTGCAGCAGCTGGAAATAGGTATGGGCGGCCCGGCTGCGACCTCTGGGTCCCCTGTCATCCCCAGGGCAGCCAGCATGGGCTCTCTTCTAAGCTCCTTACCCCGAGGTTGGCTCCCAAGTTCCGGGCAGCCAGACGCACGGCCGGGCCGGGCCACTCCCGCTCTTCACAGCCGCCCTCTGCCTTCGTCTGCAGAATTATTTCTGAACAGCCTGTCCCAGCCCTTCTCACTGGAGGAGCAAGAACAGATTCTCTCGTGCCTCAGCGTCGACAGCCTCTCTCTGTCGGACGACAGTGAGAAGGTAAGCCGGCCGGGGACCCAGGACCCTGGGCACAGAGCTCTGTGTCAGGCTGGTGAACAGGCTGTGTGCAAGTGGCGGTGAAGGGAGGCTGGTGGGGGTCACCCCGCCCTTCGGGAAGGGCTCCCCAGTAGGGCAGGGTGTCGTGGTTTCTCAGGATGAGCCAATCCGTCCGTCTTTGGCGCACCCAGGAACTCGGCAGTGGTTTGGCTACTGGAGAGAGTGGGGAGGAAGATTTGGTCTTGGGGGCCCCCTAGAAATACTCTTCACCTCCCTCCAGCCCCCTGCTTGCCCCAAGAGTGCCCAGCAGAGCCACACTCCAGAGCGGAACACGAGCAATGCCTCACCCCAAGGGAGAGCCCCTGTGTCCCAAATCCCCCCAAGGCCAGGGACAGTCCCCCGAGCCCAGGGGCCTGATTGTGCCCCCTCTTGTTTCAGAACCCATCGAAGGCATCACAGAGCTCGCGGGACACCCTGAGTTCTGGCGTGCATTCGTGGAGCAGCCAGGCGGAGGCCCACAGCTCCAGCTGGAACATGGTGCTGGCCCGAGGGCGGCCCACCGACACCCCAAGCTACTTCAATGGTATAGCCCAGTGCTGGCCCACTCAGCAGCGCCCACGCTACCTGATCCGCCCTTGATCCTGATCCTGATCTTTGATCCTGATCCGGGAGTCCGAGGGCGCTTCTGTCCCCTTCTCCTGGCGCAGCGGGGGGAAGGGAGAGGAAGGCGCCCGGCGCCCAGACTGGAGGGACCTGGCCACGAAGTTGGTTTCGAGCAAAGGCCCTGATTGCCCCAGAGGCTTCCCTGGTGGGGCAGTCAGCAAAGGACCTTGCCCCTCACGGGTTGCTGATGGAGTTCTAGAAGGCCCTTGCTTTGGGGCACATAGCAGTCTCTCCTGGCCTAGACTCAAGAAAGAAATGATGCCTTCCAAAGGGACAAGGCGGAGCAGGACCTTATGAGCAATTTAAGCAAGAACCCAGCAACAAGTTTGCCGGGATCCTCCTCTGGGATTTAAAGTCATTAAGACGAGAAAGAAAACATATATGGACTTCTTTGTTTTCAAGCGTGGCTGCATAGCTTATGTTGTGATTTTGACAGAACAAGGGTTTCATCAGCAGCTCACACTCTTCCTGGGGCCAGTGTAGACGCATGCCTCAAGACCCCATGGCCTGGCCAACAGCTGTTCCAATTCCAGAGACTTATGGCCTAAGTTGCCCACAGTCTAATGTAAGAGTCTCTGTCCTCACTTTCTTTCTGCCTTGTGTGCAGATTGGGTTATTCGTTCCCCATAAGAGCCAACCTTAGCTGTGTGCATCGTGCAGGCCAAATTCTAGATGCTGACACTAAACAACCAGGAAGAACTAGCCGGCGTAGAACAGTGGGGCCACTCGAGCCTAAACGTCGCATCGGCTTCCTCACAGCCGTCCTGCGTCCCTCCGTGTGGGGCTGCGTGTGGGGCTCCAGCACTCACTCTCCTGACGCTCACCTTGCCTGCCTTCTAGGTGTGAAAATCCAGATACAGTCTCTCAATGGCGAACACCTACACATCCGGGAGTTTCACCGGGTCAAGGTGGGGGACATCGCAACCGGCATCAGCAGCCAGGTAAGGGGACAGGTGCACACTTAAGAGGCAGAGTCCCAGAAGTCAGTGTCCCCCGCCCAGCCCTCCAGGGGACAGGCTTTGGAATAAGCAGAAATGGCACCGTGGGGAATAGTTGGCTTCAGTTATCCCTCGAGGTCTCAGGGCAAGCCTGGTGGGAGTGACTGAGGGCTCCCCAGGACCTCCACCTGGGCCAGTTGAGATTCTCCAGAAAGAAGGGCAAGAGTATGCCTTCGGGGCTGCCCGCCTGGCTGGAGGGGACCTCTCCCATGCCACCAGAGACCTCCACTCTGCACCCCGGGGCAGCCTCAAGCCCTGTGCTGCTGCCTCAGGCCTGCTGTTTCCCTCTGCCCCCAGATCCCAGCCGCAGCCTTCAGCTTGGTGACCAAGGACGGGCGGCCCGTGCGCTATGACATGGAGGTGCCGGACTCGGGCATCGACCTGCAGTGCACCCTGGCGCCCGACGGCAGCTTTGCCTGGAGCTGGAGGGTCAAGCATGGGCACCTGGAGAACAGACCCTAACCCAGCCTGCCACCACTGGCTCCGCTCCACCAGAAGGGGCCTGCCTTCTTGGTGCTCTGTGCCGCCCCTGCCACACGGGCTCAGCCTGCTCCCACGGACCCGCCACCCCGTGGCTCGGCAGTGGGACTGCGGGCGAGCAGAATGCCTCCAGGATCTGCTGTGTCTGCCCGACCCCGCCAAGAGAACGCCCGGTGCCCACATGAGGAGGAGGAGGGAGGCAGGAGCCCACTTCCCGTGGGGAGCCAAAAGAGTCTTCTCTGCTCTGGTCCGAACGAACTGGCCTGACCTGCTTAGACCGGTGACCACTTGCTGGCAGTCAGGATAGAGCAGCTTCCGGCCTGGGTCAGGGAGGGATGGGCCTCCAAGCGGGTGTCAGGGTGTCGAGTGCCCCAGGACCCCCCCCCAGGTCCGGCACAGGAGCGGGGAGGCAGGGGTACCCACCCCCGGGTTAACGGGGAGCCCTCTGGCTCCCTTGCCTGGCCATCGAACCCCCTTTTTAGACCTAGCAGCTTTTCTGCCAGAGTCAGGGAGGGAGGAATGCCGGACGCTGGAAGGCTCCCAGGGAGAACTTGGCACGCTTGTCACGTTGCAGCCCAGGTCCTGAGCTGAACTCAATTTCAGCCAAGGACCAGAGGTGTCTTAAATGAAATGGTTCTCAGTCCCCAAGCACATGTCCCTTTGCTGCCGGCCACCAGTCTTCCCTGGAGCAGCAGACTCTGAGCCCCATCTGCAGCCCCAGCACTGCCCCCAACCGGCTGGCACTTAGCCCCCTCGTCCCTCGTCGAAGGGTGTGGGGAGCCCTTACCCAGCAGGAGCCGGCTGGGGCTGGGGCGTGGCAGATGTGTGAGAAAGCAGCAGCCGCAGGCATCCGCGTGCCTCCCGGCCACGGCCACGGTTTGTAACACCATGCACACCAGCTTCCTGAGACACAGCCCCGGCCTCACACTCACACCGGCCCTGCCCTGCCCCTCGGCCAGGGGGCACTGCCAACTGCACTTTGCACTCTGATGACCTCAAAGCACTTTCACGGCTGCCCTCCAGGAGGGCAGGTCAGTGGCTCTGCACGCGCAAAAGCAGGCCAGGAGATGGGGTGAAGGGATTCGAGTCTTGACCTGTCTCTATGCGCACGACCCCTCAAACCTCCGTTTTTCTTTTAGATGAGCCCCCCTCCCACCCTACCCCGTTGCCTCAGCCCCGTCTTTTCTTCAGTGGGGGTGCTGATCAAGACTCATGTAGCATTAATCAACTGTGAATCATTGCGCGGGGGCCAGCCAGCCTCTGCTCCTGGGGGGGAGGGGTGTCCCCCAAGATTCCTCCTTGGGAGAAGCTTGTCCCCGTGTCTTGCCAAGGTGGCCTCTGCCCAGCTCTCCACATCGAGCCATGCTCCTCCCCATGGAGGGACCCCCAGCCCCCAGGACGTGAAGAGCTGCAGCCTTGGTACCGCAGAGTTCGGGTTGTAGAGAACTCTTTGTAAGCAATAAAGTTTGGGGTGATGACAAACGTGGTATGCTGTGGCTGTCCCCAGTCGCCTGCCTACTTACAGAGCCTCCAATCCGAACGGCTGCCTCCCATTGCCTCCTGGGTGGGATCTTCTCAGGTCTCTGCCTTTTGTTGTGGGTGGGCAAGGACTGTTTTCAACCCTTGAGTCAAGTCACTCTTCCCGCCTCTGCCTCCCAGTGGGAGTTTCGAGGCCTCCTTCTGGCCTATCTATTCAGACCAGTTAGGCAAGATGCCCCACCTGGAGGCAGTAGGGAAGTCCCTGGCCAAACACTGCCAGGCTGAGGAGAAGATGCCAAGGCCTGGGCATTGGCCTGACATGGATAGGTGGGGGCACACCGTGAGCCCTGAACAAAGCCTGCCCCACTCCCTCCTGTCCCTGAGGCCTGGCTTCCAGGGAACAGAACTGGGATCCAGCCTAGACCCCCCCCACCCTGCCCTGACCAGATGTGACTTTCCAGGAGTGGGTTCCTGTCTGAGGATGGATGCCACCCCCTCCCCGCCCCGAGCATAGGGGGCCTTATCAAATCCGGCTGCATGCCTCCCCGGAAGCCTTGCTTAATTAAGTATGTGTGTGCGCCCCAGACAGGTGCAAAGGCCATGGAAGCTTACCGGTCGCGGCCCTCTCTGGGACTGCTGGGAAGAGCCGAGCAGTCCTAACTCTATGGAGAGGGCTCGGGCTGCGGGGGTGGGACATCCTTCTCCAGAGGACACTCCCCTAAGGGCCGCCGCACCCTGAGCCAGAAATCCTGAGCGCTGTTCCCTGTCCGCGGGGGAGGGTCGCGGCAGGAACGTCACAGAGGCGGGAGACATCACAGGCGCCCGCGCCCCCAGCATCTCCAGCGCCCTCCCCCCCCCCTCCAGCCCCCAACCAAAGAGCGCACTGGAGGCGGAGGGGCAGCGGCCACCAGTCGGCTCCCCGCCTCCCGGACAGAGCCTTGGTCAGCATGGGAATGACAGGTGGGAGTGTGCTGGCGCGCGGTGGGGCCGGGGCGGGGAAAGTGAAAGGGAGGGGCGGGGCGCGGAGGGGAGGTGGAGATTCGGCCTGGGGCCCCTCCCCCTGCTCTCAAAGCCCCGGGGGTCCCTGGAAGGAAGACGGACCCCAGCCCACCGTCCTCCCTGCTCTGACCACCACGCCCGGCCCGGGCCCTGCGCGGTGCACAAGCTTGTGCGCAAGGGCTCACATGCACACCTGTGTACCGGCCACCGATTCAGCGGACTCTTGAGCCGCTCTGGGCACACGCAAAGAGCAGTGGTCTTGTGCCCAGGAAACAATTCCTGAATTATCCCAAACTGCTGATAACCCCAAAATCACGTTCAGTTGTTCCCGGTTGATGATTGGAGCCTTTGCAGAGAGAAGCAGTGGGCTTCAACAAATACTGAGCACCTCCTTTGTCTTTTGCACTCTTTTCTGTACCAATGAGCAAAGCCATTTGACCCTTAGATTTCCACTGAAATGGGGGCTTTCTTCTGGGGACCTTCTTTCCCAGGAGGACATGAGCCAGCATTAACAATGTGCCGAGAACCACCAACCAGAGAGCAAACTTTCCCCTTTCCCAAACTTGTGGGGTAACAAATTGAGGCAGACACCTTAAATCACTCTTGCGACATTTATTGCACCCCCTTCATCTCTTGTGTCAGGCCCTGAGTCTGAAGAGTTAACTAAAAATTAAAATGTGGGCTAGACAGCTAGGTGCCTCACAGAGAAGAGGACACTGGAGAGGTGAGTTGGCCAGTCAGGGATGAGTAGGATTTTGCCAGAAGAGAGACTTTCTTGGTATCTGAAATAGCATGTGCAAAGGCACTCAGGCACAAAAGGGCCTGCTGCGCTCTGAGGTCTGCAGGGGCGGGGTGGGTGCGACTGGAGGAGACGCCACGGGGTGAAGTCCTGAAGGTCTCCAGGAAGAAGTGAGCTCTGAGCATCATCTCAATAGAAAACAAGGGACATTTCAGAGAGAGGAGACATCTAAGGCTCTGACAAGGGAGAGGTCCCCTTAGGGAGAAATGTGCAATCAGTAACTGGAGTTGGAGTCTAGAGCTCCGAAGAGGGAATAAGAAATAGAGATTGGAGGGCTCTCTGTGGTCTCAGTCACAGACCTGAAAGCTCCAGACGGGCAGAGACTATGCGTGTTCATCACTGTAGCCTCTAGAACACTGCCTGGCCCTTAGCTGGGGGTTCAACATGTATCAGAAAATATATATGCATAATATTAAATCATACTGAAGAGCTTATTCAGTGATGAAAAGCAAGTATTCCCTGCAGCACAAGCACACTCTTGGTCTCAGAGCAACCACAATTGTTTTCACTTGAACTGTTTTTCTGCCTATATTACCTGTTTATCTTTCGGAGCTTACGGACTCTTTCTTGGTTTATCAGTTCTAGACATTATCACCTTCCTGCTCTAATGGATCCACCCTCCCCCATCCTCCCAACATCAGTTTAGATCTGTTGATGCCTTTGTTAAGTTTAATATACTTATATCTTTGGGGTGCCTGGGTGGCTTAGTCGGTTAAGCGTCCGACTTTCGCTTAGGTCATGATCTCACGGTTCGTGGGTTCGAGCCCCGCGTCGGGCTCTGTGCTGACTGCCAGCTCAGAGCCTGGCGCCTGTTTCGGTCTTTGACTCCCTCTCTCTCTGACCCTCCCCTGCTCACGCTGTCTCTCTCTCTCTCTCTCTCTCTCTCCTAGAAATAAATAAAATATTTAAAAAAATAAAAAAATAAAAAAAATATATATACTTATATCTTTATTTTTTATCACTTTAGACAGTATCTTTTGATGCCCTACATAGTAAGATGGTTTTAGTGCCCCTACCTTTCCCTTCAGCTTTCCTCCCTGCCTTTCACCTCCCAGTGACTCTAACCGTATTTTATTTTTCAACACAAAGTTTGGTCCCATTTACACTGTCTTATAGCCACAAATACGTTTTCCAAATTTTATTTACATGTTGGCTCTGAGGGTTGAAATTAGCAAACAGGACTTACATTATTGTGACTACATAGCTACTGTTTACTGCAGAACCAGGAAAGGTACTACAGTGACCTTTTCTTTCTCATACAACTTTTCGTTTTTCCTGGAGTTTCTAGTTGCCTTTTCCTTATATTCTTTAGTGTATCATAGGCTTGGCTTTCATCAACGTCTACATCCAGTCAACCATGCTATAAAGTTTTCTTTATTTCAGAAATCTACTACCCCAAACCCTTCCTCTTCTTGCCTCTGTACAGTTAACATTCTAGGACTTAGCTGCTGTCCTGGGGAAGACACACTATTTCCTTCCTGGGTCTCTTGCTTTACACCTCTATTTTGTTTTAGCACATTCTCAAATAACTTCCTAAAAAAAAGAGGAAGTAAACTTCCTGAGTCCTTCCATGTCTGAAATGATAGGTTGACTGGATATAAAACTATAGGTTAGGGGTACCTGGGGGTGGATCAGTCAGTTGAGCAACTTTTCAATTTGGCTCCAGGTCATGATTTCACGATTCGTGCATTTGAACCCTCCATCAGGCTCTGCACTGACAGTGTGGAGCCTGTTCAGAACTCTCTCTCCCCTCTTTCTCACCCTCTCTTTCCCCCCTCCCCCACTTGAGCATGTGCTCATGCGCTCTCTCTCTTCAAAATTTAATTAATTAATTAATTAAAAAAGAACTATAGGCTAACATTTTCCTCCGAATTTTAAAGGCACCCATTGTTGTTAACTCTGCTGCCCACATAATTGATTCTCCTCCCCTTGTAGGTGACTGGTTTTTGCACTTTAGGAGCATTAATGAATTCCTTGTTCCTAGTGCAATGAACTTTCACAGCAAGAATCTTTTGACATCTCTAGTGCTGGGCATTCACTGAACCCTTTTAAGCCAATGACATCATTCAGTTCAGAGAAATTTTTATTTTTATTTTCTGTATCCTCTATTCTTTCTGGATCTCCTTTTTATAACTCAGAATTGGACTATCTCTTGATCCTTTTCTCTCACATTGTATTGATATTTTGGCTCTACTTTCTGGGAATATTTTCTGTTTTATTTTCCAATTCTTTTTGCCAAAAACTCTCTTCCTAATTCTTTTTCAATAGCACCCTATTCTTGCTTTTGGGTTGGAATATATATTGTTGAATGCGTACATCTCAGAATCTCTCAATATTTTAGAGTATTTTTAAAGCTCCTTTCTGTCTCCCAAATAACCTCTGGTCTTCTAGAGTCACCTTTTCTCTTGGTCTGTCAATTGCATGTGGGCACTTTTCCTCAAATGTCTGGTGATGCTTGGCTGTTCATGTTTAAGAGTGAAATCATAAAAAGCTGATCAGGAACCTGTGGCTACGGGAGTGATTACCTGGCAGATGTTACTTTAGGATGATCAGGCAGGAACCAGATATATCTCTGTCTAGTTCAAGAAGATCAACAAAACTGATAAATCTCTAGCCAAACTGAACAGGACAAAAAGAAAGAAGACAAAAATTACCAATATGAGAAATAAAAGAGGTGACATCACTACAGGATTTATAGATATGAAAAGGATAATAAGGAATATTACGAACACCTATGTCAATAAATTTGCCAACTTAGATTAAATGGACAAGAAAACTCCAGGCCCACATTCATAAGCTTCACCTGTGACTTCTACCAAATGTACGGAAGAAAGAATACAAATTTTATATCTACTCTTCCAGAAAATTGAAGACAGAATACTTACCAGCTCATTCTATGAGGCCAACATTATTCTAATATCAAAACCTGACAAAATCAGTGTAAGAAAATGATATACCAATATACTTCATGAACTTTGTGAGAAATTTCTTTTCAAAAATTAGCAAAGCAGGGGAGCCTGACAGCCTCAGTTAGAGCATGCAATCCTTGATCATCATGAGTTTGAGCCCCGCATGCGATGTACAGATTACTTAGATAAATAAAAAAACTTTTAAAAGTAAGCAAATCAAATTCAACAATGTATAAAATAACACATTATGACCAGATGAGATTTATCTCAGGAATGCAAGGTTGATTTTAACATTAAAAACTTAATTTATTTCACCATAAACAATATAAAAGAATTAGTAACAGAATAAAATATAACATTGTTCATATGTTGTAGCATGTTATATATAAAAGAAAAACAGGGGCACCTGGATGGTTCAGTCATAAAAGCATGCAACTCTTATCTGGGGTCATGAGTTCAAGTCCCACATTGGGTGCACAGATTACTAGAGAGAGAGAGAGAGAGAGAGAAATATATAAAAGAGAAACCATATAATCATCTCAATAAATGCAGAAAAGCATCAGACAAAATCTGGCCTCTCTTCCTAATTAAAAACTAAGTGAACCAGGAATAGAAGGGAACTTTCCTCAACCTGATAAAGGGCATCTATGAGAAAAGCTACAGCTAACATCATACTTAACGGTGAAATGCTAAATGCTTTCTCCCTAAAGTCAGGAACAAAACAAGGATGTCCACTCTCAATTCTATTCAGCATTGTACAGAACATGGTTCTCAGTCCAGTAAAGCAGAAAAACGAAATAAGAGACATCCAATTTGGGAAGGAAGAAGTAAAACCGTCTTGAGTCACACACACTGAAAGTAATCTGTATGCCCATTGTGGGGCTTAAACCAACGACCCTAGATCAAGAGTCTCATGCTCTACCGATTCAGCCAGCCAGGCGCCCTTAGTCACACACATTATTGTTTATATAGAGAACCCTATGGGATGTACAAACAAACAAACAAACCAAACAAAAAGCAAAAAACTAGACTAATAGGATTTGGGGATGGTTACAAGACATACATTTCTATATACTAGCAACCATCGGTTGGAAATTGAAATTATTTCACAGACTACAGAATGTAACCCTATTAGGGAACAGAACATTCCCAAGTTGGACACAGAGGTCCCAAGTTGAGCCAACCTCAGAATTTTGCTTCCAACCCCCAGTGCTCCTGTGAGGTTCACACCATAACACTTTATTCTCTTCCTATCCGCGCCCAGTTGCTGCTCATGGAACGGTTCAGGCTGTGGGTATTGATTAGATTGTCCAGGAAAATTTTGTAAGGCAAGCAAAGTCTCTGAGGTGAGAGGCCTGGAGAATAGCAGCACTGGGGTCAAGTGGAGTTGGAAATGGAGACGGGGAGGAGGAAGCTAAGGGAACATGGCATTGGTGGAAGATTTGGAAGAGACCACTGAGCTGGCTCTTGGGAGTGGCAAGTACATCCTAGCCCAGTCACGCAGGTGATCCAAGGGGATGCCCAGGCCCAGAGGGAACATGGATGTGCCCAAATCCCAATCACAGAACCAGCCTCTACATCTCTTAGGAAGAGGCCATGCACATTCTGATCCTTTGGCTATAATCCTGGGAGCAATTCTTCTTAGCCAGAGCCAAGGCCATCATTTTCTGCCCCATTCCAAGCTCCGGGGGACTCAGCTTTCCCACTGCGCGACAGGTCCACCATCAACCGCCATCTACCACCCTGGGGAGCAGAGAATGGGACAGCCTGGTGCCCCTATCCCCCAGAGAATGAAAAACAAGCCTTTTCTGTAAAAGATACAAGCCTCCAGGGAAATGACTGGGGTGGGGGAACCTTCCCCAAGGCATTGCTCAGTCTCTTCTGTAAGGGGTGATCGGAACCCAGAAATCAGATAGCTGTCAGCATCCCCTCAGATCAAATGCCTAGGGTGAGAACCTCGGCCTGCAGTGGGGGGTGGGTGACCCCAGGATGTGATGGAAAGAGAAGCCTGGAGGAGAGAAAGGGTTTCGGGATAGGAGAGGCCAGGTTTCAGGTGAGCGGCAGAGCTGAAGCCTGGCCAGAGTGGAGAATGGGGGCAGAGGGGCAGGAATGGAGGGAGATGAAAGTTCTCAGGGGGTCCCCACGCAGTTGCAGGCTCCTGGGTAGAAAAGCATGCAGGACAGGGGAGTTGAGAGTTTCTGGAGTCAAATCTGCATTCAGTTCCTGACATCAGCCATGATCAGCTGAGGGACCCTGGGCAAACGAACCTCTTCTCATTTTTTGTTGAATCAATGAGATAAAGCAAAGAATGTGCCCATCACAATGCCTGGGCTAGCGGCACTCAATAAATGGGAGTGCAGCCTTGTGGAGGGCAGTGATGGATCGGGGAGAGCTACGGGAAAGGCAGATTAGGGTGTGGAGGGGAGCAAATGAGTGCAGGGCTAGTGACCTTCGTAAGGAGAGCAGGGAGCTGAGGGGCAGGACAGGAGAGAGAGGGCGAACGGGCTAAGATGGGGGACAAGGAGGGAGGAGGTGGCTAAAGCAGCACCACCCCCTTCACCTCCTTCTCCCTGCCAGGTGCCAGTGGATTTCCCTGCTGCAGCAAGGAGTCAGTGGACGTTGTGGAGACGCAGTGAGAGCCAGCCCCCCACCCTCCAGGACCACCACCCCTTACCCCTGCCACCACCACCAAGTTTTCGTACACGCCCCCAAGCCAGGATCTCCCTCCATCTTGCTTCTTTCCAGAATCTCCCTGGGGGGCAGTATCCAGGCCAAAAGGCCGTGGGAGGTGTCCTACTACCTCCCTGCTTCTTCTGCCTCCAGCCCCTGACGTTAGTGAAGGACTGAGGGGTGGCGGGGCACCCTGGGGGCCATGGATGGGAACTGATGCCTTCTCACTGCCTCGCTCTGAGGACAGAGCTACCTGAGATGAGGGTGGGCAGAGGCCCAAAGAAGGAGAGGGAATCCCCCTGGCTGAGCACCGAGGGCAAGGGCCCAGAGGGCAGCAAACGTCCAACAAGAACTGAGGGGGATCCTACACACACACACACACACACACACGCACGCACACACACACGCGCACGCACACCCCTCTGCCTTTCAGGAGGAGGGCACTGCCCTTGGGCTTCTCCCTCTATAGGGAGCCAACCTTTGGGCACTGGCCACAATGGCTTACTGGAATACTGGATTAAAATGAAGACTCCCGGGCCTCACCTCCAGCTGACTGGGTCCCTCCTTGGGGTAGGGGGCAACCTGGCAAGCTCTCCCGGCACTTCCTAAACTCGCTAATGTCTGCACAGAGCCCTCTGGAATCCTTGGTGGATGCAGGGACAGTGAGGGGAGTGGATGAGCTGGGGCCGTCTTGCCAGCCCCTGTCCAAGGCAAGGGGACCTTGAGGGCCCCAGAGACCTCCATCCCCCTAAATCCACCCCACCCACGCCACGGAGGCCTGTCATCTGCTCCGTCTCCTTCTGTCGTAGGAGTGCCACAACCCCATGCCAGTTCCAGCTGGCACAAGAAGAAGATGAGTCTGAGGTAACAGTGGGCGGGGGCACCTCTGAATGGGAGGCAGTAGGTAAGGGGTGGGATTCTTTAAGGCCCATCTTCCCCCAAATCCTTTACAACTCTGAGACCCTGGACCACGCTCACACACACACACACACACACACACACACACACACGCGCTGCCTCCCGGCCGGCCCCGGGATAGTCTCTGTGAAGAGGCAAGTGTAGGGGAGGAAGCAAGCAGTGAGGGGGTAGGGCAGGGGAGGGGGAAGGCAGGGAGTTGGCGCCAGGGGGGACCTCAAGGGCAGGGGCCTCCCCAGCTTCCTTCGAAACGTTTCAGCTGGAGGAAGAATTGCTAGAACTGGAGCCCATGCAGAAAGTGGACCTGGACCTGAACCCAGAAGTGGAGCTGGAGCTCCAGCCAAAGCCCAAGGAGGGCCCTGAGCGGCAGGAGGACAGGATGGAGTCGCTCCAGTCCTATGCGCAGCAGGACATCGGTCAGTGGAGCATGAAGTCCAGTTCCAGCTACCTGAGTTCTGCAGAGGAGGACCAGGCGCCCGCCCACCATCGCTCCATCCGCGTGCAGACCTCCAAGCACCTCTTCTGGGCAGACAAACTCATCCAGGCTTCAGAACACAGCCTGCAGCAGGCGGTCGGCATGCAGCTGGACAAGAAAAGCATGGGTAAGGCCACCAGTCATCAGAACCCGGAGTCTGACCCCAAGGACACCACGGCCTCCAAGCAGCAGCTCCAGAGCCCCGGCACCCGGCCAGCTTCTCCAGCCACAGACCCCCAGCAGCCATCAGAGCCCCATTCGACCTCCCCCAGTCCCCCGCCAGCCATTGGCCTAGCAGAGCTGATCAACTTTGCGTCCTCCTTGGCCGTGGCTTCGTCCAGCAAGATAGACTTGCCCAACTTGGAGCGTATGATCAAAGCTCCCCCACAGAAAGCTGAGCCGCTGCCAGCCATGGAGCAGCCAGAGAAGGAAGGGTTCGCTACAGAGTTGTTAGAGAAGCCACTTGAAGCCGGGGAGCCACAGAAGGCGTGGAAGCAGGAAGACAAGAGCATCCCCCACACTTACCTTGACTTCAGCAAGCCGGGGGTCAAGAAGGCCACCATCGAGGGGGAAGTGAAGCTTCTCCAGGCACCGGTCATATCCCCGGTCATGACCCCTCTGCCTCAAGGAGCCGTGAAAGAGTAAGTGAGGCTGGCCTCACTGCTCCCCAAAAGAGTGTGCTGGGATGTGTGGGTGGGCTCCCTCCTCACACAGCTGGGAAAGGGTGGGGAAGTGGAATGAGGGGCTGGGTGGGGGACGGGGTGGGCTGTGAGGTCGCAACCTCCGTGACCTCACAAAGGCTGCTGGAAACAAGGTTCCGGTGGACTGAGGCGCAGCACTAAAGCCAGGGCTGGAGGAGGCTTGGGGACCATGGAGGGTGAGCATTCCTGGGCTCGGGCAAGGAGCCGGGTTCAAAATGGGAAGGGCCATTCTAGCATGAGGAAGTGTGGTCCCCCTCATCAGAAATGCTCGGGCCAGCATCTGCCCTGCTGAGAACCTGGTGGCCCCGGGCCCGGGACACACCGTGGACTGGATGGAACATGAGGGAACAGGGTCCTCCAGCACACCTCTTGAAAGGACACAAGAGAAAGTCAAGCTGCCGTCAGCATGCAGCAAGATGAGGCCCTCTTACCCCCAGGGTCTTCCTTGCAGTGGCCTCTGGGATCATCCCTCTCCCCGACCCTCCCACTGGGGCCCAAGTGACACTCTCTCTTTTACGTTGCAGCTCGGTGCCGAGATCCAGGAAAGGGAGTCCATTATTGCTGAAAATCCATTTTAAGGTGTCGTCCCCCTCTTCCCCCAGAGAAATGACTAGACAAAACCAGTAAAGCCTCCAGTGCTGACCCCCGGCTCAGACTTTTTGTGCCAACACTCCTGGACTAGTGAGCTTACAGGCCGCGGCGTCATGGTCTCAATTTTTTAGGGATGCCACCCCCTTTGTTTTAGCTACCCTAGCCCTGCCTGCCCACCCCGCCCCCGAGGGCTCTGCCAGCCCTATGTGGCCCCTACTCACTCCCCATGGGTCGTTCCACCTCGCTCACACCCATCCTGACCTCTCTCAGCCAGCAGGAGAGACTCATAACCAGCCCCAGGGAGGCCTCGGTGCCCTCTCTGAGGCTTCAGGTTTCTTAGGTCATGAAGTGACATGATGGGATCGTCTTAGGAGAGAGCCTCCTGGGGATGGGATGGGCAGGTGAGGAGCTGTCCAGGGGCCACAGCCTTGAGCTGGAGGTGTCTCAAAATGCAGGGGAGAGCCCATACGTAACGATGCGCTTCCCCATGTGACCCAGACACACGCAAACACACACACACGCACGCACGCACGCACACACCCATCTGCTGACCTGTAACATCACACAGGCATGTGCATCTGCACATACGCTCACAGACAGCTCCACACACGCATGTGCACAAGCACACGTAAACACACATGCCTGTGAGCCAGACACACTCCTAAATGTGCACACAAATGCACACGCCTCCCCACGTTGGGAGAAGACAGGCAATGTGGGGAAGCTTCTGGAAGAGGACAGGTGGCAGCGAAGGAGGGACGGGAATTCAGAATGTGGGGAATGACCTGGACCTGAAAAGGGAAGTCCGGGAGAAAGGGAAGGAAGAGGCGGGGCCTGGCCCACTAGTGCCAAGGCTCCCTGTCAAGTGAAAGCCCCCGCTTGCAGCCCCTCAAGAGGCGTCCCTGCCTGGAGAGAGGGCCAAGGAGGGGGGTGCCTGGGGCCTAGGAGGGTGCGATTAGGAAGGAGTGAACAGTTGGGAATGAGCCAGGGCCAGAGGAGGGCAGGGACGGGCAGGAGGCCAGACAGATGAAGGAAGAGGAGGTGCAGAGGTGAGTATCTGGGGAGGGGCTGGGCCATAAGTGTCATGTGGCTGTTGGGGTCCATCTTCCTGGAGCATCTGTGAACTGTGGTTTGTAAGTTTGCACAGTTTGGAGGAGGGGATCCTTCCCTCCCCGGGAACCTGGGGTAAGGTGGGCCCCGGCCCTGGCTCGGGCTGGCCTCCTCCTTCCCCTGCCCTGACTTTGGGGCTCTAAAGCCTGCTTCTCCCTGGGCCTCTGCAATCTTGTGTTAGCTTCTGGAGTGGGGTTGCAAATTTGGATCCCTTCACTGGGGCAGAGACTCAAATTCAGATCCCTTCATTGGGTAAAACAGCAGGTTCCCCAGCAAAGAGGAGAAGTCTTGTGGCGAGGGAGAGAAAGTGCACCCCTGTCTAAAGATGTTAAAGTTCACCCCAAAGCCAGCCTGGGGGCTGCGGGCCCAGGCCACAGGCCCAGCCTCAGACCCTGCGACTCTGCCTTTCAGGCAGCACAAGGCAGAAGACCAAGCGATCCCCATCGTTGGCGCAGAGAAAGTACAGGTGACTAGGGCTGGCAAAGGGTCTGCTGGTACAAGCTACTGCCCCCAGAATCCTCTAGATAGGGGACTGTGGGAGTAGGCTGGTGTGGGGGTCCTGGAAAGAGGTAGAGCTGAGCCCCCACAGGCCTGGTCCCAGGGCCCCTGGAGTCTGAGCACTGGGCGGTGGGGAGGGGGTTGCTCAGCCCCGTCTTCCCCTGCCTCCAAGGCCTCCACAGAAGCCTCCACGACTGCCCCCACCAGACCTGGGAGGGGAGCAGCCCTGCAGGACGCAGAAGGGGAGGCCGCAGCAGCCGCAGAAGCCCCCTGCCCCACTGACCCAGGTGGAGCCAGCATCCGTCAAGGCCACAGGGGCTGAGCAGGCTCCCCAGAGGACCAGGGAGCACAAGCGCCTTGCAGCTACCCGTTCAGTGCAGTCAGGCTCAGGTTCTGGGCCTCAGAGGTAAGGGCAAGGATCGGAGGCCTGGGATGCTGGGTTCAGGTGCTTGGCCCTGGCATCTCTCTGCAGAAGGTGCAGAGGCCTTTCCAACTTCTTCCCCCTGAAGCAGAAGGAGCTTTGCAGACGAGAACCTGCTACCCATGACACCCCGGCAGCTGGCAGGTGAGGGCCCCAGGGCTAGGAGCAGGGTGGGGGGCGGGGGTGGAGAAATTAGGGAATGCTCAGAACCGAACTGCAGAGGGTTGCCTCCCCAGAGGCTGGGGTCACTGTGAGAAGTTAGTGACCATATTGTAACTGTGCCTCAAAGTCAGTCTAATCGGCTAATCTTTACAATTCCAGGGCTCACCGGTGTGTGTGTGTGTGTGTGTGTGTGTGTGTGTGTACGTGTGTGTGTATGTGTGTGTGTGTGTGTGTGTGTAGGGATGGATTGGTGGATAAAAAGGTATTTGGATGGTGGGTAGATGGATGGATGGATGGATAGAATAGGATAGAAAGAGAAAGGGAGGAAGGAAATTGGAGAAAGGATGGGAAAAAAATAACCTGAGTTCCCCCACCCCCTGGAGTCTGGGGCTGTGGGGTTAGGGGTAAAAAGAACCCGTTCTACATTTGGGGGCCCCAACACCCCTTCTAAGATCATGCCCTAATATTGGCAAGATCCCTCAAAGCAAAATCATTTTACTCACCATCAATAATTTTCAGTGCCTGCTGCATGCTGGGTGCCAGCAGGGTCCCCGGAGCCTCAGAGCATCGCAGCTCCAGAGCCTGACTGTCAGGGTCCAAAGCCCAGCCCTGCCCCTACTGCTGGTGTGACTTGTGGCATAGGTTTTGAATGTTTTTTCATACAGACCTATCCAAACACTAGTTCGGAAGTGAGAATTGAATGGGGAATTAACACACAGCAGCCACTGTTATTCTTTAAATGTTATACTTGCCCCAGGGGTCGGAGTGACCCAAGCCTAGAGTGATTCAGTCCTATTCTGAGCTAGCATGGGTGGATCTCAGGGCCCCTATGTGCCGTTCACCTTGCTGCCTGCCTCCCTCCCTGCCCCCAGCGTTCCAGGAGATTTTCAAACTGTTCAGTTCCAGCCCGACAGGCACTGTGGACATGCGCAGCATCAGAGCTGCCCTACGCAACGTGGGTATCCAGCTGAGCCCACAGGAGATGTGTGAGGCTCTGCAGCAGGCGGACCTGGATGGTGGGTGCCCCCGTCCCTGGCTTCTTGTCCTCCCCCATTGCTAGCGCTGGAGGATGCCTCCTTTGTCCACAGAATCCCTGGTCTGGTCCTATTTTGAAGTCTCCTCTTCCAGGAAGCCTGCTCTGATAACACATCTATCCCATTGCCCCTAAAACATTTCTGCTATGTGAATACTTGTCCTGACTTGGGGCTCCCCCAGGGGAAGAGCTATTTCTCCCCCATTCAGCTGGGGTTGACGTTCGGCTGTAAGTGGGAGTGGATTCTCTAATGCCTGGAGAGAACTGAAGGCAAGCCCTGAAAGTATATGGAGTGCAGGCCTTCTGCAGGGGAGGCACCCCCAGCAACCCCTCCCCTCTCTCTTCCCAGGTGATGGAACTGTAAGCTTCAAAGATTTCCTGGGGGTCCTCACCGACAGCTACCGCCTGGCTCAGTGCTTAGGTGAGGAGCAGGGCTGGTGGGGTATGAATGGCCTGGCCTGGGGGAAGCCTCCTCCTCACCCTCCCCTGCCTCGTGATCTCTGCTCCCAGGCCAGGTGAGGAACAGCCATGACCCCCACGGCCTGCAGACCCTGTTTTTAGAGATTCTGTTCAAGCTGATGAGCCAGGGCTTTGTCTCCCACAAGTTGGTGCAGGAAGTGATGAGGTAGGCACGGTGTCCCCAGCTTCAGGGCCCAAAATAGGGGAGGGGCAGACTCTTGCAGGAGTTCCCAGAAGTTCCTGCCCCAGGGACCAGAGCCCTGAATTCTGAGTCAGTTTCCTGGGTCCCAACTTGCCCCAGGCCAGAGACAAGTGGCTTCTGGTCCTGCTTTAGTTTCCCCACCTATGAGATGGAGCGGCCCGGGAGGAGGCGGTGTCTGAGAAGTCTGCCCTATTTGTCCCCTTCAAGCTACTACACCAAGAAGCGGCGGGCTCTGCGGCTGAACCCAGACTGGAAGGGCCGGTGGCGTGGCCACAGCGGCTCCCGCGCTCACGCGGGCCTCACCTTCTTCTGCCAGGCAGCGCGCCTCAGCGGCCTCTCCAGCGACGAGCTGGAGCTTTCGCTGAACAGACTAAACAAAGCGGGTGCGCCCCGGGCCGGGCGGGGACCTGCGGGAGGGGGCGGCCCTCATTCGGAACCTGCTGTCAGGACTAGCCTCTCCTTTTCCTCCTACTGGCTTCCCCTGTCCAGATGCGCGCAGCCCCTACGCTCAGATCCCTAACTTGGCCAGGCGGACACCGCCAGAACACAGGTCGTGGAAACGAACCCCACGCCCTGACGTCCGAGGTCCCAAGTCCTGCCAGCTCAGCAGCCGCAAGCTTGGGTCCAGCCAGAGGTCTCTCAGCCCCAGTGAGAGCAGATAAAGGGAGCCGGCGATGATGGGCGGGGCGGTGGTGGGCGGGGCGCGTGTGGGCGGGGCTGAGGGCAGGGGCGGGGCAAGCGGGGTGGAGAAGGACAGGCGTACGTAGAGTGGGAGCCGAACTCCCAAGAAACCTGGACCAGGCTGATAGAGAAGTAATCTAGGATCACTAGGGGGCGTGACCAAGGATGGGCGGAGCCTAAGGAAAAGGAGAGGGTACCCAGGAGGCAGGACTGGCAGAAATGGGACTGAGCGGGTAGAAAGGGAGACTGAGGTGGGGCTAATCCAGTTTCTAAGGGAAGCTGCGGGCCTGACCCCTCCGCACGCCCCCTCTGCTCTCCCACAGAGTTCATGGGACAGCCACCAGACCACGTGCACCCCTTGAAGTTGGCTCCCTCGCCCCCAACTCTAGTGCAGAAGCAGCCCTTCTCCCCTTCGCCAGCCCGTCTGCAGAAACCTGCTGTGAAAAACGTGTACAAGTAAACCGTTTGCGGAGAAAAACAAGGCTGCGTGTGGTGGGGCGGGCACAGAGTGGACAAGGACTTTCTGTAAACATCTTTATTAATCTTGTATAAAAATAAGGTCCTTGGAGAGTTCCTGGAGCAGGGGGTGGGACGCGAGGTTGCACTTTATAAGTTACAGGCCAGGCTCCCGCTGAGGCTAAGTATGGCTATTAGGGGAAGAGGGGTGCCGCAAGCAGCATTTGGGGGAGGAACCAGTGATGCTGCCCCCCCACACCCCCGCGTGCCCTACCACTTGAGGTGGGCTCATCACAGCCGCAGAGGGGGCTGCCCGGCCCAGCCGAGCTGAGGACCACCTTCCTTGCCCCCCACATCCCCCACATGAGTCCATCTGCTGAAATAGCAGTTACAGCGAGAGGTCCGAGGTGACCTGCAGGGGGGGTCCTGGGGGGCGCCGGCGAGCACTTCTACGGCCTGTGTCTGCGCGGATGTAGGGCTGGTTCCGCAGATCTGGCAGCCAAGAGAAGAGATGTTTACCCTTCAGAAGGCTGCACGGGGCTAGGGTCCCAGCTCTAGGGACCCAGGTTGTGTGCACGTAGGGAGGGACCTGTTCACATTTACCAGACCTCACCCCAACACCTCCCAGCCGTGCGTGGCCCAAGGGAGGACAGCATGACCCAGTCCCCCAAGGGCCCCCAGGGCTGTGGGCAGCCTCTGGGATCAGAGGCCTGGCTACCCAGGTACCTGGGGGCTAGAGGGGAATCTCTTCTCCCAGGCTGGCCTCACAGAGGAGCCTGGACGTCCGCTTGCCGGTGCGGGCCGTGAAGGGCACCGTCTTGAGCACTGAAGGTTGGGAGGGAGGAGGAGGGAGAGAAAGGAAAAAAGAAAAAAGACAGAAAAAGTAGCAAGAGGCAGTAAGGCAGCCAGACCCCTAGGGTGGGGTAGAGGGGGTGGAGGACAGCACTAGATGGACAGAGGGACAGTACAGGCCCAGCCAAACCCTCACCTGTGATGATATCTTCAATGGCCCCATCACGGTCACTCTCATAGATAAGTGGCTCCTTCTGCTGCTTCCGCTTCAGCTCAGAGATGAGGTCCATCTGCTGCCGCCGGGCCTTGGGTGGTGACTGGGGGGGGGGGTGGGGGGGAGCGGGGGTGTAATGGAATGTGTATAGCTCCAGCTCCAGGAGCCCCTCTCCCTGTGCCACCAAATGCTAGAGCATCTGTCTTCCTGGTCCCTGCACAGTGCAGACAACTGGCTCAAGCAGAAGGAACCCATTCCCATCCCAGGCTACCGGGGTACCGTGCTCACCTTGGGCAGGGTCTGTTTCTAGAAATGAGAGTAGGAAGAGGGCCAGATCTTTGAGGATGAGGATCCCTGCAAGCAAGTGCCAAGTTCAGGCACAGCTACCTACCTTGGGTGCTGGGACTTCCCCTCTGCCTGGGGCGTCAGCGCCTGCCTCCTGGGCTGCTGCTTCTTTCTTCCACTGTTCCACCTCCTGCTCGGCTTTCTGAGGGGCCAAGGGGGGATTCCATGAGAGGAGTCCTATCCCACCCCCCACCCCCCCAGAAGCATCCCCTACCCTTCCCGCTGCCATGTGGAGAGGCCGCAATGCCCCGCGGGGGTTCCAGCCCTCCCGCCAGACACACATACCTTGTAGGCCTTGATGAAGCGGCTGAAAAGGGAAAAGAACATGGAGGGGGAGGTGGTCTTGGGGTTCTCTCCGAAGTACTCCACCACAGACTCGTAGGCTTCCTGTGGGCACAGCCTGTCTGTCAGGCCCACCAGCACCGGCCCCTACAGCCTCTGTGCCCCTTTAAGACACCGGCCACTTCATCTCTGCTCCTCCAAGCAGGTGGGCCATCCAGCCCCATCCCCCACTGCTGTGGCCATGCCCCTCCAGGCCTTTATTCCGCAACCCCCCAGCCTCATGTCCAGGGCTAGGCCAGCCCCGCCCACCTGAGCTGTCTTGCTGTCTGCCAACAGCTTATCCATGGTGGGTGAGTTGGTCCTCAGGAACTCTTTGAGCACCGTGCAGTCATCCTGCCGCACAAACTCTCTCTGGGTCAACTCCAGGCCTCGCTGTAGGGAGCGCACGTCCCCCAGGACACTGTCCAGGGATACTGTGGGGGGGAGGGGCGGGCAGTACAGAGGCAGGGAATCAGAGAGGCAGCATTCCTGTCTAATTACACTCTGTGGTCCCCTCACTTTCTCTCAACCCGCATCAGTCCCCAGGCCTGAGCCCCTGCCCCCACCCAACGGGAACGGGGTACCCGCACCCATACCTGAGCCTGCCTTGTCCAGGAAGTGCAGGTCGCTGTGGAAGCCTGTGAGCTGTGGGTACTTCTCAGCAATGACCTTCACAAGGTAGTGCAGCAGCGTCTGCTTGCGATCAGTGGACTTCATCTCCAGCAGCTGCGTGAAGACCTGTTGTAAGCCATAGGCCACCTGCTGTCCCCCTACCCCCCCGTGCCAGGGAACCCCTCCTTGTGCCCCTCACCACATCCAGACTCTGGAGCCGGAAGCCATAGGCTGCTCCACGCTTACTGCTGTTCATGTAGTTGCCAAAGGCCAGGACAATCTGGGAAAGGCAGGAGGGGGAGAGTTCAGGAGGGTGCTGGGGCTGAGGAAACCCCCTCGAGTATAAACTGCACAAGAAAATGTGGCGAAAAGCAAGCCCCACACACTCAGCCCCCACTGCACTCCTGCATGGCCCCCTCAGGTCCATGATATATGTACATGCATGCGTATATGTCTGGCATTAAGATTTTATTTTATTTTATTATGTTTATTTATTGAGAGAGAGAGGGTAAGAGTAAGCCAGGGAGGGGCAGAGAGAAACAGGGAGAGAGAAATCCTAAGCAGACTCAGCACTGTCAGCAAAGAGCCCGAGGCAGGGCTTGAACTCACAAACCGTGAGATCATGACCTGAGCCAAAACCGAAAGTCGGTCGCGTAACCGGCTGAGCCACCCAGGTGCCCCTTAAAGATTTTATTTTTAAGTAATCTCTACATCCAACGTGGGGTTCGAACCCACAACCCCCAGAACAAGAGTCACATGCTTGGGGCACCTAGCAGCCTCAGTCAGAGAAGCGGGTGACTCTTGATCTCAGGGGCATGAGTTTGAGCCCCATGTTCAGTGTTGAGATTTCTTAAATAATAAATAAACTTAAAAAAAAAAAGGTCACATGCTCAATCGACTGAACCAGCCAGGTGCCTCTTGGCATACCCAATTTTGTCCTGCACAAGGCAGTGGTACGTCATTCTTTTTTTTTTTTTTTTAAGCGTTTTATTTATTTCTGAGAGAGAGAGAGAGACAGCATGAGCAGGAGAGGGACAGAATCTGAAACAGGCTCCAGGCTCTGAGCTGGCTGTCAGCACAGAGCCCAACGCGGGGCTCGAACCCACGAACCGTGAGATCATGACCTGAGCCGAAGTCAGACGCTCAACCGACTGAGCCACCCAGGTGCCCCATGTACCTCCGTCCTTCTAACAGCCATTTCTCCTGGTTCCCTGAGACTCCACTAAGCATGTGTGGGCACTCTGCTAATCCCAAGGTAACCCCCAGAGGGGGCTCCACCCTTAGGAGGAGTCTAAGGTGTTGTAGACAGGGCCTCTGCCCCTGCCTTAGCTTTTTTCTTTTTCTATGTAAGAGTTGGGAACATAACTGTTACATCCCAAGCGTGCAGACAGAGCAAGGCCCTGGTCTCCCTCTCACACGACCCAGAACAGGCCATGGGTGGGCCCCGCTTCCCAGACCCCTGCCCTGGGCTCTCACCTCCAGGATCTGGCGGAGTTTGTCAGAGGACTTGATGGACATTGAGGCTGCAATTATGGCATTCAGTTGCTGGGAGGGGGCGGATTGGGGAGGCAAGGTAAGTTGGGGCAGGGTGGGGGGCGAGCCCATGGGAGGCTCAAGTACTCCTATATGCCTTCTTGTAGGCTAGTAGCAGCCCCCCACTCCGCATCCCCAACCCGGAACGCAGTGCCCCCACCTGTCCTGCCTGCCCCGCCCACACTCCCTGCCCTGCCCACACCGCTCTGCCTGCCCCGCCCACACCGGCATGAGCAGCTGCACAGTCTCCGGAAAGTTGCCCAGGAAGGTGAGCGTGGCCATGCGCTCCTGCAGGCGCGGGATGCGGCTGAAGCGAAGCATGAAGCGATCCTCCTCCGACAGCTCCTCCATGGGTCGCTGCTCCCGCTCAAAGCGGGCAATGAGGCTACGCTCATACTCGGTGGGCAGGAAGCGGGTCAGCAACTCCAGGAAGTCCAGGCCAAGGGCCTGTAGGTCGTACCTGGTGGAAGGCAAGGTAGTTATCACTCTATACCCACCAGTTCTTGAGGCAGGACTACCCCCCTCCCATTGCCTCAATTGAATAAATGAACTAAAGTATTCACTATCTGTCAACAGCTTGAGCTACCAAGAGGTAGGTGTTAAGGGAAGTTCAGAGCTGGGAAGCCTGCGGTCCCTATCATAGGTCAGTGGCAGATGCCCAGCTGTAAATGGCTGAGCCTAAGTGCCCGTAGCTGGGCAAGGAGGCAGGGAGGAAATGGGAACATCTCAGTCTGGGCGTGGACTCACAGCATGGCCTGTTTTCTCAGCCTGAAAATGGGAACAAGTTTCCCAGCCTTACTCCCTGACCCCCGTTAGCAGGAAGTTGGATGGGCTCTGTCCCATAGCTGGGACTCTTTTACTAGGTCCTCGATGATCCTTCGTTAGTAGAGGGGCTGGGCTACCCACAATTCCAGGGCAGAAGTACTCACGTCTCGATGGCCTGGCAGATGCGATCAGCCCCCAGGTTGCCCTTGCGCAAGGTGATGGCTAGGTTCTTGGCCCGGTTGGCCTCGATGAGGGTGGCCTTGCTGGGGGCCTTCTGGGCTGCCTTATACTTGAGAGCACTGAGGTCTAGGCTGGGACCTTGGGACTTAGTCTTGAATTGTTCCTCAAAGTCACTCATGTCTAGCTCCTGAGGGTGCAAGGAGAAGAGCTGGAGCCGGGTGGGCTGGGGTCTGATATATTCCTGGCTGAACCATCTATCCAGCCCTAACCACACAACCCGCAGAGAAAAAAACCAGTAACCCAGCTTGACCACACAGGCCCTGATGGGGGATTCAGGGGAAGTACAGACAGCACCGAGGAGGAAGAGCTGCACCCAACCAACCCAGGGGACCCAGACTCCAAGCCACTACAGCCGAAGGAAGAGCTGAATTGGCCAGGGATAAAAAAGCGGGAAGGGGGGCGCCTGGGTGGCTTAGTCGGTTAAGCGTCCGACTTTCGCTTAGGTCATGATCTCGCGGTTCGTGGGTTCAAGCCCCGCGTCGGGCTCTGTGCTGACTGCCAGCTCAGAGCCTGGAGCCTGTTTCAGTCTGTGACTCCCTCTCTCTCTGACCCTCCCCTGCTCACGCTGTCTCTCTCTCTCTCTCTCTCTCTCTCCTAGAAATAAATAAAACATAAAAAAAAAAAATTAAAAAAAAAAAAGTGGGAAGGGAAGGGCACTCCAGGCGGAAGGAACAGAATGATAATAACCTGGAAGCAAGAAAACACATCCCTTTTGGAAAACTAAAAGTAGAATGAGAAAGCCTGAAGCCCTGATTATCTGTGGAGGTGGTGGGAGAGAAGCTGAAAAGGAGAGAGACACAAGGGGGCGCCTGGGTGGCTCAGTCGGTTAAGCATCAGACGTGCTCAGTTCATGAGTTCGAGCCCCAAGAGCCCCAAGAGCACCACATCCGGCCCTCTGCTGTTAGCGCAGAACCAGCTTCTGATCCTCTGTCTTCCTCTCTCTCTGCCCCTTCCCCACTCACACTCTCCCTCTCTCTGGGGAGGAAAGGGAAAGCTTCCTGGGGAGTCAGGATACACTGCCTATCCAATATACTAAACCAGGTTAGCCTAACATGCATCCCTGGGCCTCCACACCCTCATCTGTCCAGTGGGATGGAGGAGATGATCCACGCAAGCCCCCTCCTCCTCTGGTCCCCACACTGGAAGCAAGGAAGGGCCATACTCACCTGCAGCACCTTCTCATCATTGAGCTCAGTGAAGACAGTGCCCGTGATCTGGCTGGGTTTCAGGGCCACCCAGTTTAAGAGTGGCATTCTGAACTTGGTCTGTATGGGTTTCTTGGTTTTCACTCCTGGGACAGGGAGAGTAGTGAAGCATAGGGAGGTGAGAGAGGGGTGGTTAGCGGGACCCAGGGCCCAGAGAGGCCAGACGGGACAGGCAGAAGGCAACAGGAGGCCCCCAAACAGAGGGTCCTGGGCACGGCTCCCCCCAGCCCTGGGTGGTCCATTCACCTGGGCCCATCTCTGGAGCATCAGAGGGACCTCCTGGAGGCGGCGGGGGTGGCGGAGGTACTGGCCCGTCTGCGCCAGAAGGCAGTGGTGGCGGTGGGGGTGGGGGCGGCACGTCTCCCGGCAGCGGCGGGGGCGGGGGCGGGGGCTCCGAACTGCCAGGGAGGGGTGAGGCCAGTGGGGGCGCCGAAGGCGTGGCTTCCTGCTGGGTAGGGAGGCCAGGCAGTGGGGGCGGCGGTGGAGGCGGCGTCGGTGGTGGCGGTGGGGATGCTGCTACGGCAACCAGCTCTGGCTCTCCTGCAGGTGGGAGATCTGAGCCTAAAGAGATCAGAGAACCAAAGATGGGGGGAAGGGGTGTCAGGGGTGGTCTGGCCTCCGCCTCCCCTCCCTACGCAAGCGCATGCGCACTGGGCCCACGTCTGCCATCTGGCATCCACCTGAGCCACGCCTACAACCCAAACCTACCTCTCGCAACTGTCCTGGCCGGAGATGTCCCCAGGCTCCCCTTCCAGACCCTGGTTCCCCCCTGCCACCCGCCCCGGCTTGCAGCTTCTGCGCACCTGGGCTGGGTGAGCTGGTGGGCACTCCCGGAGTCAGGGCGTCACTGCCGCTTGGAGTTGCCACAGCGACAGGGAGGATCTCGATGGAGACAGCATCCCCGGGCCCCCGCAGGATACGGATTAACCCCTTCTCTTCCAGCTCCTCCACCTTCAGCTCTAGGGCCGAAGGCCGCGCAGGGACGGGGGTAGGCACTTTCTCAGGTTCAGGGGGACGCCTAGAGGCGCCCATGGGGGTCGACTCGCTGAAGCGCTCCTATGAGCCCCGGGAGAAGGGTCAGTGCCCACCGGCAGGCCTGGCACATAGCCCCCACCCTCTTGCTGGGGTAGAGGGAAGTGTCAAGCCTAGAAGCCCCAACGGATCAGTTTGTGGGAGCCCGGCCTGCCCCTGGCCCGGCCCCCTTCGCCCCCAGCCTCACCCGTAGGGTCTCCAACTCCTTTCGAGCCTGGCTTAGCTGCTTTTCCAGTTCGGCAATCTTGGCCATGGATTCGTTCTCCGCGTCCCGAAGCTTTTCTGTCAGCTGTGGCACAGCACATGGTGAGCTCCCACCCGCCGCTGGGCACTGGTACCGCCGGTGAGGGGGCGGCAGCAGGCATGCCTGCCTGAAGGGCTGGGGGAGGCTTCCGGATGTGCTTAGCGCAGGGTGCCTGGCAGGTGGGCTGCGCCTGGCACTTGAACCCAAGTAGGTGAGGCACTGAGGACACTAACATTCTCTCAGGAGGAGAAACCAAGGTGCCACTGAGGAAGGAGATGAGTGGAGAGGAGACTGGACCCGGGGGGGGGGGGGGGGCGGGGGCATGCACCTAGTTCCACCCAAGCCAGGGTGTGGGCTCTGAGCACAGGGAGAGGAGGGGCCTGCCTTCCTCAGAGGTCCAGCAGCGTAGGAAGCCAGTGAATGCTCACTGAGAAAGACACCCAAGGATTCAAGACCAGGATTCAGGTCAAAGTCAGGAACCAGGCAGACAGCTAGCCCCCTCCTTCACACCTAGAACCAGTGTTTGAGGACCAGTGCCTGGTGCCAGTGGGAGGCCCTGGGGGCCTAACCATGTGCCAGGCCAAGTTCAGGAGTACCTCTCACCTGGGCCACCTGCTCCTGCAGCTCTTCCATGTGCTCCAGCACAGCATTCTTGGTCTCAGTGTCCTCCAGCAGTGCACCCACATCAAACACATTGTCCAAGTATGCCTGAATCTGCACCTGCAGCTTGTCACTCTCCGTAAGCCGAAGCCTCTGTCCCCCAGACAGAAGGACCAGGGTGAGGCCCACTGTGAGGAGTCTTACCAGTACCCCCCCCCATCACCGCTAGAGCCCAGGGGAAGGGGCTTGAGCCCCAGATTGCTTTTTGTTTTATTGAGATATAATTCACATACCAGAAAATTCATTATTTTAAAGCAGATGATTCAATAGCATTTAGTATATTCACAAGATTATGCAACCATCACCACTGTCTCATTCCAGAACATTCCCATCGCCCTGAAAAGAACCTCTGTACCTCTTAGAAGTCAGTCCCTGTTATGTCCTCCCCAACCCCTGGCAACTGCCAATCTATCTTCTGCCTCTGTGGACTTTCCTATTCTGGACATTCATATAAAGGAATCATACAGTATTTGGGCTTCTGTGTCTTGGCATCTTTGACTTAGCATAATGCTTTCAAGGTCCATCCATGAGGTAGCATGTACCATATCTTATTCGTTTTTATGGCTGAATAATATTCCATTGATGGATATATCACCCCAGGCTGCCCTTCACCTTTTGTTAATCCCGGCTTTTTAAAACTCCAATCCCAGGGGGGTCTGGGTGGCTCAGATGGTTAAGTGTCTGACCCTTGATTTTGGCTCAGGTCACAATCTCATGATCACCGTCAGCCCGTCGTCGGGCTCTGATGTGACAGCACAGGATTCTCTCCCTCTCTCTCTGACTCTCCCCTCATGTGCATGCACATGCGCTTGCTCGCTCTCTCTCTCAAAATAAATAACTTTTAAAAAGATAAAAATCCAATCCCAAAGTCCCACTCCTCCAAGCAGCCTCCCAAAGGAATCAGGAAAGCCACAGCTTCCCTATGCAGGCTGGACCCGGGAGCACCAAGGCCCTCTGCAAGGAACTCCTCCATGACCCGGACCCATCCAGCATGAGCCAGATCCCAATAGAGCCCACTGTCCCTGTGCTCTCCATTATGTGCGTGAGTCAGAGCCTGGCTGAGGCTGATCCTCCCAGAGCCAGACCCAGGGCCACCTAGAACCCTTCCAGTGGCTGCAATAATAGCTCCATGGACCGTGTACCTATTAGGTGGCAGAAAATGTTATGCCTCATTTTATTTAGAGTCATTATCATCTTTATCATTCTCCTGTTTTACAGGTGGGAAAGCTGGGACTTAGAGAGAAGAAGAGACCTATCCAAAGTCACATGGGCTTGAAAGTAAAAGAGTCAGAATTTGAACCCAGATCTGCCTGACCTCAACGCCCATGCTGCTGACCACAGAGCCGTACTCTGCATTTGGCAAGTAGTTAAGTCCTAGAGGGGCGGGAGGATGTACGGCTCACCTCCAAGTACAAGTCCAAGCCCAGGTGGGTGAACTCATATTGCAGGAAGACACGAAAGTTCATGTTCTCCACAGAGTGGACCACGATGTTGATGAATTGCATGCAGGCCACCTGGGGAGCGGGGAACAGGAGCAGATTGGTCTGTGATCCTCTGGGTGGGGGGGGCTCAGTGCCTTCCACCACCACCCCGCTCCATTTATTCCCAAGTCTCTCTCCTTTTCCCCATTTCTCATTCCGCTATCCCTACCCCTATTTCCCCCCTACACACCACACGCCCTCCCTCCAGCTTCCCCTTCCCACCAATCTCTCAGTCCTCATACTTTGCAGGAACAGAGCCCAGATCCCAGATGCCCAGGGCCCCCGGCCACTCCTCACACTGAGGATGGTTGGGCCCAGCCTGGGCTCCCGAGCTCACCATGAAGTCAATGTTGCTGTCCTCTTTCTGGAAATATTCCATCAGCTTTTCAAAGCGGTGCTGCTCCCCACACACCTGGGTGGGGAGAATGGCTGTCATTAGGGCCCCAGTGACACACCGCCTAAGCCTTTTTCCAGCTGCCACCCTTGTGCTTCTACAGGTTCTTCCCACATTAGATCTAAGTCAGGCCATGTCGCTCTTCTGCTCAAAAACCTCCCCCCTCCCTCTCCATCTTCCCCAGCCCTCCCTTTGCTTACTCCACCCTGGCCACGCTGGTGTCCTGGCACATTCCCACCTCAGGGCCTTTGCACCTGCTGCCTGGTTGCTCTTACTCGAGGCCACCACCACACCAAGTCTCTCACTTCTCTCACAGCTTTGCTCACACTTCACCATCTCGACAAGGCTTCCCTGACCACCCTGCAACCCATTCCTCCTGTCCCTCCAGCGTCCTTGACTTTTTCCTCGGAGCATTTATCATTTTCTAACGCCTTAGGTAGTTTGCTAATTCATTATACTGTTCATGATGTCTTCCCCTGCCTTCTTGGTTTCTTTGGGTCACTGATGTGCCCCAAGTGCCCACTTTGTGCCTGACACATAGTAGGCACTCAATAAATATTCCTTAAAGGAACGAATGACCATATCCTGCTTTATGCATCATATTCTCTCCAGAGTCATAAAGGTGTATGCACGCAACTCTGAGGTATGTAGACCAAATCCACTTTGGATCTGCCAAGGCTGAGGGTCCAAGGTTCACCACAGCTGTCCCTGTTGCCCTAGACAGCTCCCCAACATGACCTGGCACCTTCCCTTTCAAGCCCAGATTGTCCCTACCCTGTTTGCCCCAAATGCCCACCCAGCACTCCCAGCTGCCCCCAGCAGAGGCCACAGCTACCAGCAACAGGACTCTGGGCATGTTGGGGGCGTGTTGGGGGCAGGGGGTGCGTACCTCCTTGAAGTTGTCGAAGGCCGCAAGGATGATGTCATGCCCTCCTCGCACCAGGCACACAGCCGCCAGCAGCTCCAGCACCAGAGCCTTGGTTCTGGGGAGAGAAGGGGCAGTCTAGCCCTCGAAGGCGGACCCCACAGCAAGGGTGGATGTGGACCTGGCTGGGAGAGGGCAGGGGAGCTGGCGGGGGAGTTGGAGCAGAAGGAGTCTGGGCAGGAGTCCTGAGAACTGGGCAACAGAGCAGGCCAGGAGCCAGGGGCAGGAGAATCAAGATATGGAGAAACTCTAGGGGCCTGGACCTCACCTGGGGTTCTTGTTGTTGAGGCTCAGAGCAATCTCATTGACACAGGCTGGGTGGGTCATGACAAGGCTGAAGCCAGACTAGGGAGAGAAGAAAGGTCAACCCCTCCAGGCAGACCCCCAGGACTGCCAACACTGTCCTATCCGGCACCTCAGGCAACTGTCAGTGGCCATTGCATTCTGGTCCCTAACTGCTCTCAAGCTTAGGAAGTTCTTTATATCCAACCACAGCCTTTTCTGTGGCTGCCAAAGCCTGGCCCCTCTTTTTAAATGACTATGCAAAAGCCAGTGTTAGGAGTCAGCACTGTGGACACAGTGAGCCCTCAAAGGCCTGCTAGGTAAAGGAGAACTGGCCTCACCAGCCACTCCTCCAAACAAAATAACCCTGAGCTTCGCTCCCTGAGGGCCCTGTGTCCAGCTTTCCTTGGTGGCTGTGCCTAGGTCCCCACATGAGGCATACCCATGCCCCCCAGTCGCTCTAGAAGATCTCACTAGGAGGGGGCAGAAATCTGGGCTTGCCCTCAAGACCTGATCAGCCTCAAGACCCTCAACAGCTCCCATCCACAGGGTTCTCCAGGGGGGAACAGGGTCGGGGCACACCTGGTCCCTGAACCCCAGCAGCTCAGGCAGCCCCCAGTGAGGACAGGCCCAGTGCCCTGAGTGCCCCCATGCCCTCGTGCTCACTGACCAACCTGGTAGTTCATGATGGCACGCAAGCACATGATACAGACATGGACGTCATCCTTCTGGCTAACGATGCGAGAATTCCGCAGGGCCTTCCTGCTGTGGGCTGGGGTCAGCCTGGTGGGGTAGCGAGGGGGCAGCAGGGGTCAGCGTCCTACACCCAGCCTCCCACCCCCACCCCCATCCCACCCCCACACCACCACTCAGAAGGCACATCTGGAACATTAGGCCACTGATTCCCATCCACCCAACCAAAGAGGTCAGCTGAGGGCAGGAAGCCTTCCTTGGTCCCTAGGCCTGGGGCCTGGCATACTGCAAGGGGATAAGGAAGGGGTCAGGAAAGCAAAGACCCTTAACAGCAACTTGGCATCAGAAAGGGTTGCTGTGCTGTGGGAGGTGGACAGCCTATGGAGAAAAAGACAGCCAAGGCCTGGAAATCCACAAGGTGGCGCTCACAGCTTCATGGGCTCATTCAACTTCCATCTTGAAAACCCAACCCTGAATTCAGGCTGTCTTGGTCCAAATCCCAGCCCACCACTTATGACACTTTACTTAATTGTTCTGTGCCTCAGTTTCCTCATTTGTAAAATAGGAACGGTAATAACAGTACCTTCCTGATAGGGTCTTGGGGACCATGAAATGAGCTCAGAACAGCGCCTGATACACAGCAAGTGCTGTACCAGTGTCCTTGATAATTCTTTGCTAAAAAGTATGTGACTTTTTTTCCTTGTTGCAGAACCGCCAGTCATGATTTCCACATCAGCTCCTCTTGACAATTCTATCACATTTCCAACAACACTGGGAAGCCCCACCTCCTCCCTCCATCTGCCACATTGCCCTTCTCCCGTCATTGCTCTAATATGTCTGAGTCTTTGCTCATGCTGTTCCTTCCACCTGGAATGCCCCTCCCTGTCCCCACCACTGCCAGTAAAGCCTGTATCCATCTGTGAGACATCGCTCTGGTGGTATCTCTTCTGGAAAACTTTCCTGATATCCCAGGAAGTGGCCACCTCCCTTCTCAGAGCTCCCAGCTACACCTCCATGATAGCCTGTCATACACTGTCCCTTTCTAGACCAAGAGCTCCTAAGAGCAGGGTGATCTGTCTCCCAAGCACCTGGTACCATGCCTGATACACAAGAAACACTAAAAATATACTTGTTGAATGAATGAAGAATGAATGAATGAGCAAACAAAGAAATATATTGTGAAGGTTTGAAAGGCTTAATACAAAGTTGATCCCCTAGACCAAAGTGGGAAGGATGGAGGCTGGGGGTCCACTGGAGGCTCCAGGGCTGACTCCTTCCCTCTCCCTGCCTCCCAGCGGATGTCCTGTGTCAGGGTGGGGTAGCCTATCCACAGAAGACGAACTCAGGGGTGTCAGCTGAACACCCTACCCTACCCCACCACCCCCCGGGGAGCCAACCAGGCATGCACCTGCCCCCCAGGTGGCTACATACCGGGGAGAAGGGGGGCACCTGGAGGCCGCACAGGAAAGAAGAGGGGGTTAGATGGATACAAGGGACATCTCGCTGACCCAGAAACACCCTGTTTATCCCAGACCACCCAGATTCCAGTTTCTAAATGCTCATCCCTAGAAGGCTTCTTAACAAACCCATCTCCATCTCCCAAACCCTGTTAGAGGCCCTTACTGTGATCCCCAGCGCCAGGCTTCCCTCCCACCACCCCCAAGGGCCCGGAGCAGGGTTGGCTGGGTGTGGCAGTCCAGGGGTGAATTCTCTATTCTCCCTGCCACCCTGCACGGGGATCCACATACTTGATGGTCAGGTGGCGACTCTTAGGCTGTGGAGGCAAGGCTGAGGGTGGACCCTTGCTGAGGTCTTCCACTGATTGCTCCAAGGGCTTGCTCTTCTCTGAGCTGGGGACCCCGTTGTCTGTGCTCTCCATGTCATACCTGCAGGGATTAGAGTGGGGTTGGAGGCCAACACTGCAGAATCACTTAAGAGAGGGGTGGGGAAACTGAGGGGACAGATGAATGTGCAGGAGAGATTAGAGGCTGGGAGGAAGAGGCTGTGTTCTCAGCACTGTGCTGGGAGACTAGAGGGCGAGAGAATGGCAGAACAGAAGAGGAAGCCACCCAGGTCCCAGCTGGCCACCCCAGCCACATCCCTCCATATCCATGCAGGCCCTTAGGAAGGGGCATTGCCCACCGTACAGGGTGTGGTTTGTGTGAGCCCAGGGCAGGCTCGGGCTGCACAGCTTGGACGTGGCCCGAGGAGTGGATGAGGTGCAGAGAAGCAGGGATCGGGGCTCAGAGGAGCAGCATGAAGACTGGAGCAGCGGGGCTTACGTGACGGAGCACTGGGCAAAGGCCAGGTACTCGAGGAGCACATCCAGGCCGCGGTTCTCCTCATTGAGGAACTCCTCCACCCACCTGCAGGGCACAGGGCTCCCTGAGTTCCAGCCAGGAGGGAGGTCCTGCCCAGAGTGGGCACAGAACAGGCATGGCCAGGGAGGGCTCCAGGGTGGCTTTGCCCCCACCCCCCACCGCCGGGGAAGACACCAACCAGCCCAGACCTCAGAAGACCCAGTGATGCTAGGAGATGCCGGAGGCTCAGGAAGGACCTGTGACCCAGCCATGCCTCGAGGGGTGAGCAGAGGGTAGGCAAGAGAGGAGGCAAGTAAGCTGTACTGAACACCCAACCCAGAAATGGCCTACAGCAGAGCCTACTCAGGGGTGGGGGGATGGGGGAGGGGGGGGCAGGGACAGGGGAATAACGAGGGGAAGCCCCAGGGGCTGCCTGGAGGCAGAGCTCTCCCTGGGCCCCCAAGCGGGAAATCTGAGCCCTCGCTCACCCAATGTGGTTTGTCCTCAGAGAGATCTCCAGCTCCCGCAGCACCTGTGTAGACTCCTGAACTCGCCTCTTAAACTGGGGGCCAAGGCAGGAGAGTCTGGTGGGTGACGTCCAGGCTTCCCACAGTCCCACCGGGCCCCGAGGCAGCAGGCAGCAGCCCCCACCCTCCCCCTACCACTGGCCTTTCACGCTCAGCCTCCCCCACCACCCCCAAACACCTGCCCAGCAGAGTAAGCATTCCCAGGCTATGGCTAGCCCCAAGCTACACACATAGACTCATCCATATACAAGTGCCCTGGATACATGTATGAGACAACCATATACCCACATACAGACACATGGGGTACACACACACACCCCTATACACGGACCCAAGGGTACACGCACACAAGCATATGTGGACATGAAAGTACACACAAAGTATAAACAGATCCATGCACAAACACACGGTGTGCACACGTGCACATACACCGCACAAATGTGCACAAGTGGACCCACATAAGCATAACCAGGATATGCAGAGGAACTTGTAAAAGTGCACGCGGCCCACCCCATCCCCTAAAAACATGCACAGGCATTCATATGCATTCCCGCACAAGCCCAAAAGTTTACGCACACAGTTATTCTAGCTGCCCAGAGCTTGAAAGGTGTGGGGAGGAAAGGGACAGAGAAAAGGGGGAGACATATACCCCCAGGTTAGACATCCAGTCCGCTGCTACCTTTCGGCTGACCCCACCAGTTTCCAGGTAGCTCTTCAGCTTCTGGATATAGGCTGTGGGAGGGTTCTTGACTTGAAATCGCTCCTGGGGAGATGGAACAGGGTGTACAGGAAACCAGCCAGAGCTACCCCGGGGCAAATAACCAGCCCTTGCCCCAGAATCCTGTTCTCAGCTCTGACCCCAGGTCCCAGTCTATCTTAGGATCCTTCTGAAATACCAAACAACTCACCAGGTCATTAAAAGACCCCAGTCCCAGACCTAGCCTTCACTCCCCACTATGGCCTCACAAGCCACAGCCCTACACAGCTGCGTCCCCACCCCCCCCAACCCCCACCGTGGAGTTGGGAGGGAGGGGTCATTTCTGCCACATAACGCACCATGCTGGGGGTGGGGACGGGGACTCAGACCTGCCAGTAGGTTGCACTTTCCCAGCCCCCTCCCTGGGAGTCCATGGAGGAAGAACACTCTGAGGGCCCCTTCTGTCCCATACCTGCGCTGGTAGGTGCTTCTGTGTGCCCATCTCCCAGCCTCCGCAAAACAACTCCTAACTCCCCTGCCCCACCCAGGGCTCCCATAGCTACTCACACAAAGAAGCAGGGGCCATATCAGAGGCCCCCTACCCAGAGGAGCCCCCACCATTCTCAGTCCCAGATCCTTTAGGATTCCTACTTTTCCCAGGCCTTTGGGCCCCCAGCCCTGAGATACCAGACCGAATGCCAGAGACCTCCACAACAGCCCCAACGCCTCTGGAAGCAGCTCCCATCCTCCCCGCACGGCCCAGTCCTTACCCCCCAGACTCCTGCACAGGCTGCTCGTCCCATTCCGGTCCATTAGCAGGAGCCGAAGGCCCAGCCCTGGCTCCCAAGGGAGGCTCCTTGCTCCCTGGCTCCCCACCCCCAGCCTCCCTCCCTCACTGAGTCACTGCAGCAGCTAGGTGTCACCCTAGCTTAGCAGTGGGAGAGGGGTCTTCCCTGCTACCACGGACAGCAGCCAAGGAAGCTGGAGAGGCAGGGGCCCCCAAGTGAGCCATGAAGGTGGCAAACCCAGGGGCCTGGCTGAGCACCACAAGCCAGGAGTTCTATTTCTTACTCGGCCACTTGGGAACTGGTTACCTTTGGGTTATTGCTTGGTTGACTGCAGCTCTTCTGGGCCCAAGGGAAAGAAGGACGGGGATCCTGCTCCTTCCTTCCTACCTCCCACGGGGTCAAAGATGCCCAGCCCTGGGGTTGCCCCCTCTCTTCCCCAGCCCAGAGCTGGAGGGTCAACAGAGGCTGCTCTGCCAAGCTCAGCAAGGAGGTGATGAGCCCTGCCAGCTCTTCACAGGGCAGACTCAGCCCTGCTAGGGACTCATAAGGTCCCTGGGGAGGCCCATGTTCAAGGGAGGGGGGTGTAGAGTCCAGTACGCTCTGTAGATGTTACACAGGCCTCTGGGCAGGCTCCCTGGGCAGTGTCCCCTCTCCTGCCAGCCCCAGCCTGGCCAGAGCAGGGCATCCTGAGGCCAGAAGGGGCCTGGTACCCACCTGGTCACAAATGAGCTCCCATTTCTTCTCATTGTCATACTGGCTCAGCAGCTGCACCTTGTCTGGGGGCAAGTTCATGCAGTTCTGGGGAGGGGAAGGACAAGATAATGACTGTGAGCCTGAGGCCCCAGTGCAAGGGGCAAGGAAGGGAGCATAGGCATTTTCAGGGAAGCCACGAGGGGTCAGCTCCCTAGTAAATCTGTCATATACATGAATCCCCATCACCCTCTCACCCTGGAAGATAAGTAGCATTTGCCAATGAGAAAACCGGGGCCCAAAGATAGAGCACCTTTCCCTAGGCCCCAAAGCTGGAAAGTGACACTGGGATTTGACTCTGAGTCGGCCTGACTCCAGGGCCTGGACTCTGTCTTCCATATACCACCTGCCTGGCACATCTGCCCTGACAGTCAGAGCATGGGTTCTCAGCCCAACTTCCCCGGGACCTCGGACATCTTTGGACTCACTTCCCCGCGTGCAATAACGGGGTGTCATCTCTTCTTCTATTTGAGTGGGAAGCTAACAGGGGATCCATTTCCAACCAGGCCCAAGTGTGGCCAGTCTCGGACTATGCCCATTTCCTGCGTGCCAGCAAACACCATCCGGACTGTGTGCAGTCCCGGCCCAGGGCACCAGTGTCTCACAAACAGCAGAAAACCCCTCCCAAGGATGGTGACAGCAGTCTCCTCCGCAGCCCTGTCCAGCCCCGTCCCTCCTCGTCACTTCTGGAAGGAGGACATGGGGACAGGCCAAGGGAGCTACGGTCAGACAGGCAGGGAATTCCTAGCAGGTGCATCATGGCTACAGAGCACAGGGGGATTCCTGGGGAAGGTCACCCAGCCACAGGAACTGGAGACAGCAGCCAGCATGCCGGGTTGGTGGTGCTGGCGGCCCAGGATGGGACTCCCCTCAGGAGCTAAGGAAGGTCAGCACTGCTCTGCCTGATCCTCCGGCCACAGACATGCCTGTCAAGCCCCTCCCTCACAGGGCAAGCATAGCATCCTGCCTGGTGCTGCCCGCACTGGGGGTTCCCAGGCCTCCCCTGAACTTGGTGTGTCTTCCTAACAGCCCCAGAAGATGATGCCAGTTTACCCCAATTCACTGAACCCCATGTTTAAAGAGGGTCTACTCTGTGTCAGGCCCCCAAAAGGCAGTTTTTGCCCTGAAGGAGCCCCATCTCTGCTGGGGATGTGGGAGTCCCCAGGAATCCCCAGCCCAGAGTCAAAAGGCCCCCGTCACCAGCGCTGGTGGCTCAGACTACACGTCCTCAGTCACATGGCCCTGAGAGGAGGCCACAGCTGGAGCAGAGAGGGGGCCACACCCACCCAGGGCTCCTCAGCCAGCTTCCTCTCTGGGGTGCCGGGCTTCGTTCTGGGGCCCTGGCCAGAACTCACCCCCCCCAGAAAAAAAATCACTGCCTTAGGTCAGCCCAGACAACAGGAAATTGGGTGCTCTCAGTCCCCATTGCTCAAGCTTTCCGGCTGGGGCCCCACTGGAGAGGTGAAGCTGCCTACTCCCAGGTCCCCCAGGCTGGCTGGGGATGGGGATACGTCATTCTTCTCCCCATTGCGAAAGCCAGCCCCCGGATTGAGGAGACAGCTGCTGTCTCATCCGCTGCCCCTCCCCAACCTGCCAATGGTCAGAACAGTACCCCCACACACACACACTACAGGAGAGACTGCCTAGGGAGGGCCCCTGGAGCTGAGGGGAGGCTCTCTGCCTTTCTTTCTCCATGGTCTCTCCGAATCCTGATCACAGAGACCCAGGGTGGGGCAGGGCAGAGGGGGCTGGAGGCTGAGGAAGAGGGAGGGAGCAGGAAGGCGGCAACGCAGGGAAACTGGAACAGTGGCCAACACAGAAGGAGGGCCAGGAAGAATGAGGGGATGGCTGAGCCCCAGCCCCTGAGCCTTACAGGGGACAGCTGCTTCTCAACATGGGCCTCTCCAGGCCCTCACCCACCCCCAGGGACCTGTTTGGCTCCTGGAATGGCCCAGTGGCACTTATAGAGGCAGCGGCCAGTCAGAGTCATAATAATGATCCCGACAAATGCAGTCGCCAGCTCTGCCCAGATGCTCACCATGCCTAGCACTGCTCTGAGCCCTTGGCGAGGGTGACGCCCTCACCACCTCACACCCTCATCCCCATCTCACAGGTGCAAGTACGGATCAGTTTAATGACCTGCCCAAGGTTACAAAACCAGAGAGTGGGGAGTGGGTCTGGCTTTGAGCCCAGAGCTGACTCTGAACCGGCGCCCTGGCCCACTCCCCCGGGGACAGCCCCATGGTTATTACTGGGGAGGAAAAGGCCTCTGCCGTGGGGTACACCTGTCCCAGCAGTGGTGGAGGGCAGAGCATGCACCCCCTGTCCCCTTCCCCACCTGGGCGTGCTCAAGCCCCCGAGGCTATGTGCCAGCCTGTCAGACGGGCTAAATTTAGGCTCGGAAATCAGAAATAGCTCTGACAGCGCTGAGCACTAATTAGCAGCTGTTCCTCAGCTGTGCCCACCGAGGAGATGGTACCCTGAGGAGCAAGAGAGGAACCAGAGGGTGCCACTCACTCGGGGTACAGGGAAGCCATCCTGGAAACTAGCAACAGACCCCAGACCCAGAGCCCTCAGCAAGGAGGCAGCACCATGGGAGAGAAGCAGATGAGGCTGGCGGATAGCACTCAAAAGGGACAGGCAAGGACACAGAGGTCCAGGGGTGGAGAGGAGGAACGCTTGCCCCCTTGAGGGGACATGGGTGGGGAGCCCTGAGGTGGAAGAACCCACACCCGATCCAGGAGACCCAGGCTCTGGGCCCACCTAGCCCAACAACTTCTCTGTCTCCTTGAGCCTCAGCTTCCTTCTCCAAAAAATGGGCACACTTCCCTCCTGCCTCACAATTCACAGAGCTCCTGGGAACACCCAGTGAGAAGCTGGGTTTTGATGTAATAATACTCATCAGTGATGCATGCTGTAAAGAGGCAGTTCACAGACTGGGGGGCAAAGGGGACAGGCAACGAGTCCATTGAAGACCCCAAGGTGACAGCTGGGGTGGTGAGCAGAAGTGTGCGAAAACTCCCAGATGAAACAGACCTGTCTCCAAGACTTGGCCAACAATGAATTGACCCTTCAGCTCCCTTCTCCTTGCCGCCCTTAATGCTTTGGCTCCAGGAAGAGGGAGATAAGATCTATCTTTGAGGGTGTGGCCAAGAAAGGGAGCTGATTCTCCAATCTTTCTACTAGAATGTGAAGGGATCATTCTCCCTCCCTGCCACCACCAACTCTCAGCCTCACTCACCCAAGACCAGCCCCTTGCAAGCTTCTATCGAGTTCCTTCAACCCGCTCTGCTCTCCCCACCCCGACATCTGGAGAGGTGTCCCTGTGACTAGAGGGGCTCTGTCTGCATCTGGACACAACCACACCCTCCCGTTTCACTTTCAGTTTGAACTGAGACTGTCCCAACCCACCTGCCCACCCTCTCCTCATGATGTCTGGCCCTTTGAGTCTCAGAATGCTCTTGAACTTGGGTACCAAGCCCAGTCTCATACCAGCCCCACAGAGGCTCCACAGCCCGATGGGCCCAGAAGCCAGGAAGTGTCCCCCAGCCCCACTTCCTCACCTTCCCCCCTCCATCCACCTCTATATGGCCTCGACCTTAGTCTTAGAGCTCTCAGTGAATCTCCAAAGGCAATCAGTCCACGTTTCACGGGGCGCGTGGGTGGCTCAGTCGGTTAAGTGTCCAACTTCGGCTTAGGTCATGATCTCACGTTTCGTGGGTTCAAGCCTCACATCAGGTTCTGTGCTGATAGCTAGCTCACAGCCTGGAGCCTGTTTCAGATTCTGTGTCTCCCTCTCTCTCTAACCCTCCCCTGCTCATATTTTCTCTCTCTCTCTCTCTCTCTCAGAAATAAGTAAAACATTAAAAAATTTTTAATAAAAATTAAAAAATAAAAATAAATCCACATTTCAAAGTTCCAGTAGGTAGATTTTCTGGGGCTATTAGAGACAATCCCAGACTTAGAGGAGGGCTCTGTGTGACTAGCCCCAGGATTAGGTGCTGAGAATCCCAAAAGCCCACAGCTTCTCCCATGAGGGTTAAAGGGTCCCATGGCAGGGACAAGGGCAAGCCAGGTGGGAGCCAGGGCACCAGGCACTGCCCATATAATCGAGGCTGGTAGGAATTACAGCAACAATAATAATGATAAATACCCCCCAAGCATCCCATCCGGTGCTAAGCACCATTCTAAGTGATTTACATCTTCTGACTCATTTAAACCTCGAAAAAGAAGCTTTACACAGTAAATGCCATTGTGATCCCCATTTCACAAATGGGAAACTGAGGCACCAAGCGATTAAGTCATTTGCTCAAGGTGACCTAGCTGGCAAGCTGGTAAGAAGACTGTGTTTCCTTGGGAGAAAGAGCACTGAAGGCAGTGAGAAATGCGGGTCCCAGGCCCCCGGGGTCTTCTGCAGACAGCCTGGCCCCAGTCCCCCTGTCTGAGGAACCAGGAACAGCCAGCCCCATTTCCTGCCACCCAGCACCCTACGCTTCCTGTTGTTGCCCACACTGAGTTCTTACTCACTGGGGAACCCCCCCCACCAGTACACCGTCTCTCAGAGGGAAGTGGAGGCCTCCCCACCCCCTCCCCATGTGCACACAGCTACCGTTAGCACCACACTGCCCCACCCTCCAGGAGAGGTGGGCCCTCCCTCTCGTGGTTTCCGGCCGCCAGGCAGTTTTCAGTGTAGGCCCCACTGTGGCTGACCTGCATGATGGCAACCCAGGCAGCCTGGCCTGTGATGGCTAACGTTGGCAACCTTGGTTGGTCTTGGTAATGGAGGTGGGAAGAGGGGAAAGGTGCAGTCTAGAAGGGCCTAGAAGGCCTCCAATATGAAGAGGACTCTGTCCATTCCGGTGTCATTCCCTTCCTCACAGTAGGAGAGAGTTTCTGGACACTCGCCCTCTGTGAGGCATGCTCTCTGTAACCCTTCCACAACCCTAGGAGGCCAGCATATACCACGATTCTCTTTCTACACATGGGGAAACCTGAATTTCAGAGAGGTTAAGTAACTTGCTCAAGGTCACCCAGGTAGTAAGTGGCAAAGACAAAACCCAATCCCCCAACTTAATGACCCCAAAGCTCAGGAAGCTACTCTGCCTTTCCCGTGGTAATCCCGGCCCCTCCCAGAGGAGGGTGAGGCCCGAGCCACCTTCCAGGGCTCCATGTCCTCAGGAAAAATGCAGAGGTAGCCCCCAGGGCAGCCCCATCTGCTCCTGCCCATCTCACCCAGCTCTTAGCCAACTGGCCCCAGATGTCCCTGTGAATCATGCCAACCGCATCCCTGGGTTTCCAGGGTCAATATGTGCCAGCCCTGCCTGCTAAGGGTGCCACCCCACAGCCCCTATCTGGCCCTGTATCTGTCCACACAGCCACAGCCCCGTTGGGATCCTCCGTGTGAGACACCCCAGAGATGAAAGGTACAGGTCCTGAGCACCCCTATAGCTTCCTGTTCCCAAACTTCCTCTGCCCCACCTCCCCAAAGAAGGGGGCTGGCCAACACAAGGAGACACGATAGATTCTATTCCTGCTCCTTGGGGAAGGGTCCAGCTGAAAGCAGGATTCCCAGGGCCCACATGCTGCTGGAGGCCGTCCTGACCTCCCTGTGCAGCCTCACCAAATGTCCACATCTCTGGGCACGTGCTAAGGGCAGCCCAGGGTGCTGGGCCCCATCAGGCAAACTCCTCCCCAAACAGTTCAGCCTCTGTGTTTATAAGCATCACTGGGCCTCACGCACACCATCCCAGGCACCTTCCCTTGGTCCCTTGGCCCCAAGGTTACAGGCTCCTCTCTGACCAGACAGATCAGCGGTGTCCTATGCCTGGCTGTAAGCATGGAACTCTGGAAGGCCTGGAGAGAGTGCCTTGGCATCCCAAACCCTGATCCTTACAAGGGAAGGTCTGCATGGAAGACATGAGCCCTGGGCATGGCCTCGGAGAGGCAAGAGCTTGGCGTCTAGCTGGCTGGTTTTCCCACCATTACAGCTGGCCTGTGTCGCTGGGCAGCCATCGCTCCTCTGCTGTTGCTAAGGCAGCAGCAGGAAACCCTGGCTCAACCCGCTCTTTTTCTCCACCCCCATTTTAAGCAGGGGCACCTCATGCTCACAGCCTCCTTAGAAAAGTAGCCCCCCAACACCCTTGCATGGGAGCAAGGCCACTGTGGGGAAAGGGAGAGCAAGCTTCATCTCCCATCTGGCCATAAGCCTTGGTGGGGGCGCCCTTCACCCATACATGGGTCCCACATCCAGGAGCCAAGGAGAGGTCTGAGGTTGCAGGATCCTACTCCCCGCCAGGGACCAAAGGGTTTCATTTGGGCAAAAGGAAGAGGTTCCTTGGGGCTATGTGACTATATCCGAAGGGGAGGGCTATCCTTTTCCCATCAAGACTCAGGGATCCCTTGGGGAGGGGCGGGTCCACCACTCTAGGCAGTCTGAGGCTCTTCTCCTCTTACACATTCACTAAGGACAGGACTCAGTTCCGGCCATGGAGGCAGTGTTCTGATGGAGGCGCACCCTGCATGACCCGTTGCCAGGCCTGTGGGTTAAGCCAAATACTTGGCCCAGGCAGCTGCAGGCAGGGGCCAAGGCTATCACCCCAGGGCGGGGCTCATGCCCTTGTCGGTGGGGAGTGAGGGGAGCCAGGTTCTTAGTAAAGTGATCTCGGGTTGGGTGTGTTCTGCCCCCATAAGACAAGGGACAGGCTGATCCTTCCCCAGAAAGAAGGCCAAGTACGAACACACTGGGGTTCCTGGGGGCCAGGGTAGGAAGTTGAGCCCCATTGGGTGCTGCTGACCTAGATTTCTACCCAGCTACTGCTGCCTTCTCCACGGAGACACCCTCTAAGACCCATCTCTGGGCCTCCGCCCTCCACGCCCTGGTACTCAGGGACTCCCAATGGCATTTAGCATCAGGCTCAGCCAATCGGAGCTAAGGCCAAAACACAAGCAGGGCACTCAAGAACTATACATGCATCAGAGCCTCACCATTTGACTTTTGGATTTCCCACTGGTCTGAATTATTCATACAGCTCCTCCCCATTAGTGTGTATGACAGAAAGCGGACTGAGGCCCACACCTCACCCTGACAGCCTGTCCCACCCCTGTCCACAGACACACACTTGGGGGGAAAGAGAGACCCATAACCCACCCACCCCCATCAGGCTGGCAGGGGTCCAGGGATCCACCACCAACTCAGGCTCCCCAGATGGTCCCCCAGTGATTGTCCCTCTTCATTCTCCCCCCTCCCCCATCTGCTCAGCTCAGTTGAGTTTTGCCAGACCATGGGTTTGAGGAAGGGAGAGCAGGTGGAGAGAGGGGGAAACAGGGCCTAGCCTGATGTGAGGTGTCCCTCAGAGTCCCTCCCTCTCCCCTAATCAAGCAAGGTACCTTTACAAGGATAGACCAGACCCCGCCTCACCCCACAACTCCCCCAAACCCCTCCTAGCCTTCCTTCTGGGAGGGGGAGCCAAGATTTCCAGGAACTATTATGAGGGGCCATGCAAAAGATCTGGCAAGTACGGCCTTCTGACTAGCCAAGGGAGGGGAAATGATGTCAAGGAGGTGGAGGGGACAAAGAATTGAGCACTGCCACAAGCCAGCATTGCTCTACTGCCTGCACCTCCCTTGTCCCCCCATCCCCCCCAGACCTGCAGTGCCAGCCTGCTTAGACCGAGAAGTGCCCCCTGGGAAAAAGCACAGCTCGGCCTCATTCGCCTGTCACCCAGAGTCCAGCAAGGAAGCTGACAGCAGACAGGCCACCAGGCAATTAGTTAGAGAAAGGAGCCTGGGACAGGGCTGAGAAGGGGAGAGGGAAGTGAGAAAGAGTGGCCCTTCCCCCTCCCTATTTCTGCCTTGCACCAGGTCTTAGGGAGCCCTGATTTGGCTCTGGAGCCCCTCCCCAGACACCTCCTGACTGTCTCCAGGCTCAGCCCGAGCTGATGGCTCCCTCCCCAGGGACCCAGTCTCCAAGCCCCCCAATTCCTCCAGCAGGTGATAGTGGGGAAGGAGGGAGGGATTCCAGACTTTTGCACTACCCCAAGCCAGAGTGACCAACCCATCCTGACCCCGCCCTTCCTAACCTTAACCCCCTCAGTGGGCTGGAGGAAATGCCCAAGATAAGGACCCACAGGCAATCTCTCCTGGACATGCAGGGGGTGAGAAACACAGACACCTCCTCTGCGGGAGCTGAGCCCCGGCACCAACAAATCAGGACCAAACACCTGAACTCCGTCTGCAGCTCCCAGGACATTAAAATGTCACCCTTCCATCTTTGGCCCTAAGACCCAGGCAGAGGCTCCAAGACCTGCGCCCAGTGGCTGGGCCTGCGGGCAGCGCGGAAGGGGATGCCCCCGGCCCCCCCTGGCGTGCTAGGCTCCCAACTTCCTCGCAGGACATTTTTGTTTAGACCTTTAGACCCAAAAGCGCTGGGGCAGGGGGTGTCTTGGGGAAGGAGACTGGGCGACTGCGGAAGAAAGTTTTGGGGGGGAGAGTGCTAAGTCACTCTGAAAGAAGCCACTGTCACTCCCACCCCCCGTAGGGGCAGCCACTGGGCCGGGGATCTCCAAGTGGTACCTGAGCCCCCAGGGACGGGGACGCGGGCCAAGTCCCAGCCGCCCCCCGCCCGCGCCCAGAGCGCGGCACATCACACTCACCAGAACCCGGTTGAACCTCTCCTCCAGCTCCCGGGCCGCCGGCATCGGCTGCTTGGGCGCCGCCGGCTGCTTGGGGGACAGCGCGGCGGGGCCCGCGGGCTGCTCCGCGCTGCCGGCCGCGTTCCCCATGGTGGTCCCCACCCAATCGGCCAGGCGCCTCCAGCCTCGGAAATCCAGCTTTCCGGGGGAGCGGGGATGAGGCTCCCGGCCTGGGGGGCGAGCAGGGTAGAGGCAGGCGGCGGCGGCGCGGCGCGGCTCGGCTTGGCGGCGCTTGGCTCAGCTGCGCGCAAGGGCCCGGGAGCGGCGTCCCATCGGGGCGGCCCCGTCCGAGGAGCCGGGCGGCGAGCTGCGGGGTGGGGGGAGGAAGTCAGGCTGCAGGCCGCGGGGACAGAGGGCTGGGCCGGGGGCAGGAAGCTGCGGCGCGGGCTCCCCCCTCGGCGATTTTCTAACTTCTGCTGTCGCTCCCGGAGCGCGCAAACCGCATTTCGCCGCCGCCGCTACGCACCCTGCCCCCGGGGGGCGGGCTGGAGGGAGGAGGCGGGAGCCGGGAGCCGGCCAGGGGTCCGCCGCAGCCATGGAGCGGCGGGGAGGAGGCAGCGGACCCGCTTCACCTGCCGCAGAGGGGGCGGCGGGCGCCGCTTCACCTGCAGGAGCGGGAGGCGACCAAGGCGAAGCAGAGGCGGCGGCGCGCGCGGCGGCGCCTCCGGGTCCTAGAACCCCATGCTCCCGCTCGTTCGGAACCGGGGATCGGCGGGATCTGGGTGAGGAGGGGGTGGTGGCGGGGGTCACGGCCTGGGAGCCGGAGGGGGCAAACCTCCTTGTCGATGATCCCAGCAACTGCGAGCGCGGCTTGGAGACCCATGACGGTGCGGCGTTGGGGCGCAAGGGCTCGGTCCCCCTCTCGGATTCTCGACTGAGAAGGTGGGAGCCCCCTTCCAGGGCCCCCACCCCTTGTTTCTCTCCTCATCTGTTTAGTCCAGAGAGGATCTGGGGACCAGAGGGAACCATCTGCAAATGAGAACCCCAAAGCAAGACGAGCGGCGCAGATCCAGGCCAACCGAGACCCCCACCCTGCACCAACTCTGCGCGCAAACCGACATCCCCAGGGTTTTAGAACGGGGGTGTCTGTGGGAAAAGGCAAGGTGCGAGAATCTGGGGACGACCAAGGCGGTGTCAAGGAGAAGCGCGAGGGCTGGGGAACAGAGGATTAAAACCAGCATCCAGGCTGAGGAAGGAGCAGGCACCGGAGAGGAGGAAAAAGATCTCCTTGACGCTGTCACCTCCAGGGACTTAGGGTGGCCTCTCACCTTGGCGAATAACAATCGCTGAAGTCTAGCAATTACAGAAATGCTTCGTGAGGTCTTCTTTCATTCATCCCTATAATAACTGGGGAAGGTAAATATTCCTATCTTTATTTAGAGATGGGAAAACAGACTCCGAGTTTTTAGTTGACTTGCCCAAGGGCACACAACTAATAAAGGGCAGAAACTGTCCTACTCTCTGCCGTCTTCAAAATCCACACCACCTCGGAGCTGCTGTCCTAGCCCCCACTGCCCCTCTCATCCAGGGTGGACCAGAAAGGTGAGTGAGTTTGGGGAGGACTATAGAACCCCAGGTCTGAGACACAATCTCCAACCTGTATTTGAGGCCCTTGTCTCTCAGTCGCTCTTATCATTCCGCCATAGAATTTGTGGAAAACCCCAGCTGCCCCTTCCTGCACTTTCAAGACATTGAGGATGGAGGGCCCACTAAATGAGCCCTGAACTTTCTCTGGGTCAGGCCAGAGGCCATAAGTGTCCCTTCCCCTACAGCTTCCTCTCCCTTCTACCTTCCCTTTCACATTCAGAACCACTGACAAAAGTTCAGCAGGAGCTGGGAAATTTACCTAATTTTAAGGAAGGCCCTGGGATGAGACAGCCCCTTCCCCCAGACTGACCTGATTTAAGCGCCTCTGCTGCCAAGGTCACCAGCACCTCTGGTGGGTGAGAGATGTGGTTATTTATTTCATGTCCCAGCCAGAGACCCGCAGGTAAGTCAAAGTAGGGTTTTCCTTGAACCTGCTAAGAAAGGAATCCATTCTGTGCCCACTACCCTTATCTTGAGCTTGGGTTCTTGTCCTTGGCATTAGCTAGAGCCTCCTTTTTTTTAAAAAAAAAAAAAAGAATTTTGTCCCTGATCCCCTCAATGCTTCTCCCTTTCCATTTAACAATAAACCTTTAAATGACACTAGCTGTGTGCCCAGCACTGTGCTCACTCCTATTGATTCAGTGGCAGAGGAAAAGAGTTCCCCTTATTAGATTGCTCACAGCCTAGCAAGAGACAGACTCCAGACACATCTGGGAGAGTAACTACCACCAGGCAGACTGGTACCAGGTGCTCATACTTCCTCTTGCCCAGAAGGATGGGAGTTGTGCACTGCAGCTGAAAATCTGAGAGGGATGGGGAGCCCTCAGCCTGAGCCCTCCAACCCTGGGGATAATCTGGCCATTGCCAACCACCACCACCCAAGGCCTGGTGGAAACAAGGCAAGGCTAAGTAGAACCTCTTATGTGGAAAATGATGAATTCAGCAAACCTACATTATCTCATGTGAGTGCTGATCAGAAATGTGAGGCACAAAAAAAGGGAGAGAATTGAATCAATTATTACCTAATAAATTTGGTTGGCTTGGCAGAAAGTATCTTTCCAATCATGGTCCACAGAGGAGGAAATCCTAGAAGGGAGGCTTGGTGAAGTTTGGAACCAATGCTTTGGTGGATTTGTGCTTCCACCTGCCGGGCACAAGTGGTATGACAGCCAAGACAGGGCGAGGCCTCCAGAAGTGATGGAGATGGACTCACAGTGTGGATGACATTTCTGGACTGTTGTGGCCTTGTCACCTCCGATGGAGAAATTGTGCAGTCACTTGGGGACACTCAGAGCTTCATTGTGCAGTCACTGGGGACACTCAGAGCTTCAGAGCTTAGATGACTGAGCAGGGCTCCCCAGGAATCTCCCTCCCTCTGCCCAATCCCCATCACTCAGTGAGTGCCTCTTCAAATAAAAAATTTTTTTGTTTGTTTAAGGTATTGCATACATGTGCTCAGTTTAAAAGAAAAGCAGTTTGGGGCACCTGGGTGGCTCAGTCGATTGAGCTTTTGACTTAAGCTCAGGTCATGATCTCGTGGTTCCTGGGTTTGAGCCCTGCGTCCGGCTCTGTGCTGACAGCTCAGAGCCTGGAGCCTGCTTCAGATTCTGTGTGCCCCTTTCTCTCTGCCATTCCCCCACTTGTGCTCTGTGTGTGTGTGTGTGTGTGTCTCTCTCTCTTTCAAAAATAAATAAACATTTAAAAATTAAAAAGAAAAGAAAAGCAGTTTTATTTATTTATTTACTTTTAAAGGTTTATTTATTTCTGAGAGAGAGAGAGAGATAGTGCAACCAGGGGAGGGACAGAGAGAAAGGAAGACACGGAATCCACAGCAGGCTCCAGGCTCTGAGCTGTCAGCACAGAGCCCGGGACGCAGGGCTTAAACCCACGAACCGTGAGATCATGACCTGGGCCAAAGTCAGACACTCAACCAACTGAGCCACCCAGGCGCCCCAAGAAAAGCAGTTTTAATTAATCTTTCCAGAAAAGTTTAGGGCATATATGAGCTGTGTGTGCATGTGTGCGCGCGCGCGCGTGTGTGTGTGTGTGCACGCGCGCACCTGATATACCCTCTACAATTTGGCACCTTGCTATTTTCACTTAATATTTCTGCCTCTATAAAATCGACACAGTCCCCCATCATACAGTTGGGTCACAATCTATCTCACTAGTCCCCTCCTAGTGGGTGTTTCGGTTGTGTCCATCTTTTGTTGCTACAAACAATGGTGCCTGCAGGAAATATCTCAGTACGTATATTTGCCTGCACTTGTGTGTAGCTGTCAGACAAATTTATAAATATGACAATGGTGAGTCAAAGGCTACACACTTTTTTTTTAAGCTTATCTATGTGTTTTGAAAGAGAAAGAGAGCAAGCATGTGCCCCACGAACTGTGAGACCATGACCTGAGCTGAAATCAAGAGCCAGATGCTCAACCCACTGAGCCACCCAGGTGCCCCAAAGGTTATGCACTTTTAAAGTTGGGGTAGATTTTTGGGAATCTGGATAGATTTGGAATTGCCCTCCCATAAGTTTGCACCAATTTGCAACCCCCAACAAGGGATGACAGTGCCTGTTTTCCCACATCCTCACTCTATTATATTATAGGTATTATAAGACCTTTGGATGTTTGGTGAGGACTATTTTGAAGTCTTTGTCATAGGGAGGTAATGATCTGTCTTCTTCTCCGAGGCAGAGACTGTATCTTTTCTGTCCCTATATCCCCAGTGTAGGACTTAAGTAGTGAATGAAAGAAAACAGGATTGCATTTTGGTGGGATTGAAGGGAGGGAGTAGAAGGTTAGAGCTAAGCAGGAAGTCTGTTTTTTTTTAAATGTTTATTAATTTTGAGAGGGGAGGGAGGGGCCCAGAGAGAGAGAGAGAGAGAGAGAGAGAGAATTCCAAGTAGGCTCCACGCTGTCAGTGCAGATGTGGGACTAGATCCCATCATGAACCGTGAGATCATGACCTGAGCTGAAGTCAAGAGTCAGATGCTCAAATGACTGAGCCACCCAGGAGCCCCTAGGAAGCCTGTCGTTAAGAGCTCCTCTCATTTCCAGGCCTCAGTCAAGTCTCTGCCCCAAACCCAACAGCCTCCTCTGAAAGGAGCCTCCCAAATTTTGAGATCTGAGGTGGAAGGCCCAGCACTCCTGAAGCAGCTCTCACTTAGCTCTCCTGCGTCCCAGGATGGGCGGCATCATCCCTGAACTGCCTAAAGACTGGAAATAAGGGGTGTCTGGGTGGCTCAGTTGGTTAAGCGTCTGACTCTTGATTTCAGCTCAGGTCATGAACTCACAAACTGTGAGCCTGCTTGGGATTCTCTCTCTCTCTCTTTCTCTCTCTCTGCCCTTTGCCCCACTCTCAAAAAATAAATAAAAAACTGGAAATAAGCCAGGTGTTCAGCTCTAGGGGATCAGTGAAACCAGAAATATACCTTTCAGCAATGACAGGGATGTTTCATTCTCTCTGTCCTGTCCAATATGTCCAGTATGTCCTGGCCACATGTAGCTATACTGAGCTCTTAAAATGTGGCTAGTGTGACTGGGGAAATGAATTTCAAATTTGACTTCAGTGTAATTAAGTTCAGTGTAAATAGCCACAGGTAGCT